TAGATTCAGATGTGTTTTAGTTCCCTGGGTGTTTAGATTCAGACGTGTTTTAGTTCCCTGGGTGTTCGGATCAGACGTGTTTTAGTTCCCTGGGTGTTTAGATTCAGACGTGTTTTAGTTCCCTGGGTGTTTAGATTCAGACGTGTTTTAGTTCCCTGGGTGTTTAGATTCAGATGTGTTTTAGTTCCCTGGGTGTTTAGATTCAGATGTGTTTTAGTTCCCTAAGATTTCGACCTTCAGTTTTACATACAAAGTGAGGACGACGGCTTCTGGGGTGAAACTTTAACGCTGTGCTGCTAAAATGATTTTATGAGACTTTTTTATGAAATATCTTTGTGTAAAGGACAGTAGAGCATGATACGTTGATCAGTGAGGAGCATTCTCTAGTTTTGGACCTGCAGCAGTTAATTAATCTCAAACTCCCAAAGATTGTGACTGTGAAAGTCCAATCAACACTTATTAACACCCGACTGAGTCCTGAGTGTTTCTGTCAGTGTGTCAGTGTGTTGATTCTCCTCTGGGTGGATTTCATTTAACACTATAGCTATATGACAGCACACACACACACATACTGCAGTAAATATGTGTCGTGTGTGTGTGTGTGTGTGTGTCGGGGTCAGACCCTGCCGAGAGGGTGTGTGTTATATGAAGAGAAGGAGGGGTGGAGGACAGTCTCCCGGTCGTCCGTCTGCAGCTTCAAACAGTCTTTAAAATAAGCTGCAGAGGAACAGAGAGAGTGTGTCTTTGTGTGTGTGTGTGTGTGTGTGTGTGTGTGTGTACAGTGAAGGTCAGCACAGAGCGAACACTCTGAATATTAAAGATGTTTGTGACGTTCAAGCAGCAGGAAGCTGTCAGATGAAGGTAAGAACTACACAACTCTTTTGTTCTCTGTATGTTTGAGCAGCTTAATGCAACACACACAAACACACATGCACACACACAGACCTGCTTCACATTTAACAAATGCAGCTTTAACAACAGCCGCTCCAGCTGATTGGATGATCGGCCACTTTGTTTAAAGGAAACAACATTGTTTGATTCTGTTGATTTCTTACTTTTGTATTTGTTAGGACCTGAAAGTGTTTCAGCTCATCTTATCCTCCTGGAAGCTTGTGTCATGTGGTCTTCTGACTGCGGATGGATAACTAATGTTAGCTTAGCACTAGTCAGAGAGCTCGGATGTAGATCACACCCACAGAAACGTGGACAGACATCCTCACCATCCTCTGGTTTCTGCTCCTAACAGGGCAGCGCAATAAAGACGCTATCCCAGTGCATTATGGGTGAGGTACGGTACACTGTTTCTGGACTTAAAGGAAACCTCTAAGGGTTCCATCAAAAACCTGATCCGTATTTATTTACTGAGTTGTACTGCTATACTGACTCTTTGGACACCTGAACACCTTTTACATAGTTTTTATACGGTGTGGTGTTAGTATTCATACTTTAACAGAGTATTTGTACAGTATTTACTGAAGGTAAAATATGTACAATACGTTTAGTACATATGACAGAAATGATTCACTGTTGATCAGTAAGCAGAATAAGGATGGAGAAATGACTGCTACTGATAAAGGCTGTAGTGGACATGGACGATTATTGTTAGAATGAAAAGGAAAGCGCTAATGTGGCTTCTAGTCAGTGTTAGCTTAGAATACCAGGTCACAATAGAACCACGAACAATGTGAACCTGTGAGGAGAGAAAGCACGACGACTGCGCAATCAATGCAAGAAGACGACAGGAAGTCCATTTAAATGGAGACGTGTTCAAATATGTTCATTTAAAATGAGTCAAACTCATGTTCGATCCACTATCAGGACTCAGTTCTGACCTGGCAGTGACCTCTGACCTCTGGTGAAGTGTCTGAGGAGCTGAATGATGAAACATCAAATGTTCACAGCGACCAGCTTCCTCCGGTTGCTATGGCAGCCCCAGACCACCATTGGCAATCACATCACTTCCTGGTGTATCGCAGCTGTACTACTTACATATTTACCACATATTGTGATGAAATTGCACTTTCTTGTTCTTCTGAGTTTGTGTCCTTATGGTTGAAATGCACTTATTGTAAGTCGCTTTGGATAAAAGCGTCAGATAAATGACATGTAATGAAATGTGTGTTTTCCCTGACGTCCTCTAAGATGTGGTACAGTATAAGAGAATTCTTTACTGAGAACACACAGTGTGTGTGTGTGTCTGTGTGTGTTTTAGATTGGCCACCTGTTGCCTTCCATTCTCAAACACACTCCGTTCATTCTTTTCTTTCTCAAGCAAACATACTGAAAGAAAAGAAATGTGTGCATGTGACCGAGTGTCTTCCTCCCTCACATACCACAGCACATTTACACACAGACACACACCGCTCGCGCATGCACACACACACACAGGCATGTCAGTTCCTGTCTTCTGTTCCTGACTGTAATCTCCAGAAAAATGATCCTGCTTGTTATTTGCAGCCGGCTGCCAGTGGAGTGTGTGGGCAGCGCGGGCCGAGGTCACCGCTACAGGAACAGGCTAAAGCCCACTGGAGATAGAAGCAGGAAGAAGAAGAAACAGGCTCACGCAACAAAAGATCTGTGAGGACAAACCAGGAGGGCTAAAGATTGCAAACCAGCAGAAGAAGTAGAAGAAGAAGCAGACGAAACAGGAAGCAGCAGGTAGGAACAGGAAGCTGGAAGAACATCACATGATTGACATCCTCTTGTACCTCATGTGCTTTGTCAGTGTAAAGGTGATTATTATTATTATTAGAAGAGGAAGAAGTAGAAGCATATACTCCATGTGTAAATGGGATGAAGGTTTTAGTCACATGATGCTTCATGTTCCTCATTGTTTATTCCTCTTTATTTGATCAATACTTGCTGTTCTCTACCTGCCTAGGTACTCTGTACTCTACCTGCTCAGGTACTCTGTATATTACCTGTTCAGGTACTCTGTACTCTACCTGCTCAGGTACTCTGTATAGAACCTGCTCAGGTACTCTGTATATTACCTGCTCAGGTACTCTGTACTCTACCTGCTCAGGTACTCTGTATAGAACCTGCTCAGGTACTCTGTATATTACCTGCTCAGGTACTCTGTATAGAACCTGCTCAGGTACTCTGTACTCTACCTGCTCAGGTACTCTTTATAGAACCTGCTCAGGTACTCTGTATATTACCTGCTCAGGTACTCTGTATAGAACCTGCTCAGGTACTCTGTACTCTACCTGCTCAGGTACTCTGTAATCTACCTGCTCAGGTACTCTGTATAGAACCTGCTCAGGTACTCTGTATATTACCTGCTCATGTACTCTGTATAGAACCTGCTCAGGTACTCTGTACTCTACCTGCTCAGGTACTCTGTATAGAACCTGCTCAGGTACTCTGTACTCTACCTGCTCAGATACTCTTTATAGAACCTGCTCAGGTACTCTGTATATTACCTGCTCAGGTACGCTGTGCTCTACCTGCTCAGGTACTCTGTACTCTACCTGCTCAGGTACTCTGTGCTCTACCTGCTCAGGTACTCTGTATAGAACCTGCTCTGGTACTCTGTATAGAACCTGCTCAGGTACTCTGTACTCTACCTGCTCAGGTACTCTGTATAGAGCCTGCTCAGGTACTCTGTACTCTACCTGGACTGATCTGAAGTCTGATCTATCTGACTTCCTGTCCGGTCTGATCCAGCTGCTGGTCTGTGATGTCAGAAGATATGTGTGAGCAGTTGATCCTGAATCAGCTGTTGTTTCAGACCTTTGAGCTTGAGGCGTCTCTGCTTTCAGGAGCCTGTTCACGGAGCGCTGCCCCACTGACCCCAGGTCAGTCTCCACCAACACGTCTGTCTCTTCCAGGTCTCCAACATGTCTCCAGTCAGAGCGTCATCCTTCTTGCTGAGCTGCTGCGTCTTTATCCTCCTCATCGTCGGAGCCTGCAGAGGTCAAGGTAAGGTCACACCTCATCCTGTGGAGATTTAAGGACAGAGATTATTATTATCAGCATTGTTAATAAAGATAATAGCGGTGATAATAACATTATACAAGATTAATCATGATTTGGTTCACAACATTGAACACAGTGAGAGAAAGTCAAGTTTAAGTACTGGTACAGTCAATTCATTTATTAATGATAATGAATCGATCAATAGAAATCCTAATATTTAATGCCACTGATATCATATTAAAGAATACTGCTTTCAACAGTAATTCCTTTTTCCAATCAATTGTTTACCCCGTCAGCTGATTTTTTTCATCAAGGGACATATTGACATACATATACTATATACTGTATGGATGGTCACATGACACATGTCATGTGACAATCTCTCACCTTCCTCTTCCTCACTTTAAGGAATTGGATTGGTTGGTTGATGAAGTATCTTTCGTGTGATGATGAAGCTTAGTAGAGTCCTGCTGACACCCGGTGAAGTCACTGCTAATGTGGCTAACAGGCCAGACACAGATAGAAGAGGCTCGGAGTCTCCTCACACTGAAACAGGAGAGTTTCACCAGAAAAGCTTTCAAAGGAATTCTTCAACACGTTTAACTTATATGCTCTTATTTTTTCAGTAAATAGCAGCTTCCTGTCATGGGGATGTTATCAATACATCTGTCTGTCCTTGTATTCCTTCTATGCAGGAAGTGACTGCAGCTGTAACGTCACCAATAGCAGTTGTGACGAGTCCGGAGCCTGCAGGTGACCTGCTCCACTGATCAATCTCTGATCAATCGTTACAGTGCGCATGTAGTAGAGAGGGTGCGCCAGCAACGGCATGGTTGGCAGTTCAAACCCTGGTTGCTCCATGTCTCATGTTGAAGTGTCCATGAGCAAGATACATAACTGCTCTGCGGGCGCCTTTACGGCAGCCCACTGCTCCCACTGTGTGGGATAAATGTAGAGAATAATTTCCCCAATAGGATCAATAAAGGATACTTTCTTCTTAATTCTCTTTTTCTTCCACTACTTCAGGCCAACTTCAAGGTGAGTGATCAGTGATGATCCAAATAGATTCACTGATTGATGACTGACCAACTGATCACCCACCCTAGCCCACCCTCATAGCCCCGCCCTAAAGCCTCCCCTGCTTTATGGTCAATCAGCGTGTAGCCCCGCCCTAAAGCCTCCCCTGCTTTATGGTCAATCAGCGTGTAGCCCCGCCCTAAAGCCTCCCCTGCTTTATGGTCAATCAGCCTGTAGCCCCGCCCTAAAGCCTCCCCTGCTTTATGGTCAATCAGCCTGTAGCCTCGCCCTAAAGCATCCCCTGCTTTATGGTCAATCAGCCTGTAGCCCCGCCCTAAAGCCTCCCCTGCTTTATGGTCAATCAGCCTGTAGCCCCGCCCTAAAGCCTCCCCTGCTTTATGGTCAATCAGCCTGTAGCCCCGCCCTAAAGCATCCCCTGCTTTATGGTCAATCAGCCTGTAGCCCCGCCCTAAAGCCTCCCCTGCTTTATGGTCTCTTTGACTCTAAATGGGTTAAAGTCACATTACATTTAGCTGATGCTTTTACTTACATTGCATTTTTAACCCATGGCTTTTTACATTTTTGCCCGGGGAGACCCCAACCTCTGGAACCCCCAGAGTGACGTCACTTTGTGTCTCCAGGTGCGACCCCGGCTGGGGCGGAGAGCGCTGTGAGCGCTGCGGACCGACGCCCCGGCTGCCTCCATGGTTCCTGTCAGCAGCCCTGGCAGTGTAGCTGTGAGCCCCGGCTGGGGGGGGCGTTTCTGCGATAAAAGGTGTGGTATCTCCCCTCCCATCGCTTTGGTTCTATTGTCTGACCCGGTCTGACCTCGGTCCTGTTGCAGACCTGGACGGTGTGCTTGGTGAGCTGCTCTTGTCAGAATGGGAGCGGCCTGCGTAATGGAGGACAGCGGCCGACTACACCTGTGTGTGTGCCCAAGGGGTTCCACGGCCGAGGACTGCCAACTGAAGACCGGGCCCTGTTACCTGAGGAGGTCTGTGCAGGTCCACCTGAACCTCGATGGGGACTTGTTATCCCTTTGTTCTTTGAGGGAAAGTAAACATGTAGATTCACAATAAGTGAACAGCTGATCTGAGTAAAGACTCTGAGGATCCTTCTGGAGATGATTTAGTATCTGAGTGGATCCAACGTGTGCAGAGTATTTTTTAACTATTAATATATTATACAATTATAATAAAACAACAGTTAGAATAATATTTTAGTCTAGAACGGTTTGCCCAGCTAGCACCTAGCTAGCTATGCACTGTCCACTAGCCAGCGGCTACTACAACGTAGATTGTGCTTCTAGTGAGCTACTGACTGGATGGATTAATTGTCTCTAGATTAACTAATATTAATACGTTTTGCCTCCAGGTCTCCATGTAAAAATGGCGGCCTCTGTGAAGACGGGAACGGCTTCGCAGAGGACCTGTCGTGCCGATGCCTAGCCGGCTTCACGGGTCGGCGCTGTGAAACCGACATGGACGACTGCCTGATGAGACCGTGTGCAAACGGCGCCACCTGCGTGGACGGCACCAACCACTTCTCCTGCATCTGCCCCGCTGGTTTCACCGGGCGCTTTTGCACCGTCAACCTGGACGACTGCGCCAGCCGGCCCTGCCTTCACGCCGGCCGATGCCTGGACGGCGCCGGGGGCTTCCACTGCGTCTGCCGGCCCGGTTACACCGGAGCCACCTGCGAGACGGAGGAGGGAGGCAGGAACGCTAGTCGGCATGGCGACAGCCCCTTTAGGGTGACGGTAAGCGAGCGCAGTGCCGCCGGCCTGTCAGATGTCCAGCTCATCGTCTTGCTGGTGTTGGCGGGCGTGACGCTGGCCGTGGTCGTGTTGACCGGCACCGTCGTACTGCACGGTCACTGCAGGGCCCGTGGCACCGCCCCCTGCTGCCCGCTGACATCATCACAGCAGCCAGCGCCGCAGGACGAGTGCGAGTGTCACATCAGCTTCCTGAATGTAGCTGTAACAGAGAAGAAGAAGCTGAACAGTGAGGTCATTTAGACGCAGCGGCGGTCCGAGCACAGAGCGAATGGACAGAGAAATAGAGGAAGACGTGCAGGGTCAGAGGTCATAGGACCCTCAGGTCGGAAGTTGGATCAAGCCGTTCCTGCATCCTCCTGATGTTGATATACAGATGAGTTGTGACGTCATAGACATGTTTGTATGGGTCATGTGACTCGTGTAACCCAACCTGCAGACTACATTACCCACACTGCACCTCTCGCTCTAACAGATTGCAGTGCGCTGAGAGCAATGATGTGTCAGCAGTTACTTTGGCTCAAGTGACATTAACCAAGGACGTTCATCAGTGGCATATATGGATTGATTCTCAATCTACTTCCTGTTCTTATTTATTTAAATCATATGATCATGTACTGTAACTACTGTACCAATCTGAGGTACTAGGACGTATTAGGTATTTACCTTACCAAGTTCTCACACATTATACTTCACCTCGACTACATCTCAGAGGTACCTGTTGTTCTGCTTTGCATTTATTTTAAATGTATTTTAGTTACCAGATATTATTAATCAACTCATAAATGTTGTTTTATTAAATATTATTGAAAGTTATTAGAATGAGCTGAACATATATATAATATGTGCCATTCTGCATTGTGAGTACTGTGTATCATATATTGGTAAAGTTATGACATACAGGGCTGTGTGTGTCAACACGGTGTGTACTTTCTCTCCTGTGTTGGTGTCATTTAGTGTGACGTTCTGCACTGAAAAGAAACATTGTGCAATACAGTTGACTACAATAACAACCTCTGATATGTTATGTTCTTATGTATGATACATGAAACACCAAGAAATATTTTATAATTGTAATGTTTCACTAGAAACTGCTCTACCACCAACCTCCAAGTAACACTTCATGTCTCTCACTCTCTCTAGCTAACATCTGTACCTTTCCTTTGTTTGTCCCTCCTCTGTCTACAACCCTTCAACTGACTCCTTCTCTCTTCTTTCTCTGCAACCAAAAGCTCATTCTACCAAACCAGAATTCAATCCTCATTCTCTAACCCTAAAAAACTGCTCCATCTTTTCAAGCCTCCTTGATCCCCCCGGCCCCTCCTGCCCTTCTACCGAGCCACTTTGTCAACTATTTTACAAAAAACATCCTCTCCTCCTGATGGGGATCCAGTCTCACACTTTCCAGTCTATTGATTTTGTCTGTTTAACATCAGGAAGTTGCTGGCCATACAGGTTTAATGTCCTTACGACATTCTTGATGTCTAACTGGCAGTTGTTGTCCATGAGGTCGGGTCAGTCTCAATAATTGCAAATGCACACAGAATGACTCACAAATATATTCGATTTACAAATGCAGACAGAAGGATTTATAAATACAATTCAATGCCCACATAAATAAATTACGATTTGTATTTATATTTGTTTGTGCATGTGTATGCATTTGTGTATAGTAAGTAAGTATAAATGTATTAATGAATAAATATATAAATAAATAAATGCATAAATAAATTGATGCTGAAATAAATATGTAAATAAGTAAATGAATGTATGCATAAATAAATAAAAGTTGATAATCAAACCGGTCATAAACAAATACATATTGTATATTTATTTCTACATTTCTGTTCGCCTACATTTCCCCATTTATTTATGTGTGTGTCTGTATGCTAATGAGGTGGGAGGTCCTAACCTCTGTCTGAAGCAGGATTGGTCACAGCAGTGTGATTGCTCATGGTCTACTTATTCAATTCAATTCAATCTAATTCATTTTATTTTGTATAGCCCATAATCGCAAATTACAAATTTGTCTCAGAGGGCTTTACAGTCTGTACACATACAACATCCTCTGTCCCGAAACCCTCCATCAGCACAGAAAAAACTCCCCAAAAAATGTAAAAAATCTTCCAAGAGGGAAAAAAGGGAAGAAACCTTAGTGAGAACGTCAGAGGAGGGATCCCACTCCCGGGATGGACAGATTACAATGGATGCCATGTGTACAGAATGAACAATGTATAATACATGAGACTATATGACAGGAATGATTCAAGTAATTGTGAGTAGTAAGCCAGGCACACAGCAGGACCACTGCAGAGGCAACCACCATCAGATAGAACCACCATCAGATAGAACCACCATCAGATAGAACCACCATCACATAGAACCACCATCACATAGAACCACCATCAGATAGAACCACCACCACCACAGAAGCCTGTGTGGAGGGAGAGCACAGAGACTTTAGGAGAGGGTAATGTTGGTTTACGAGTACAGTAATATGATTAATATCTAAAATAATAATGACGATGATGATGATGGCAGCAGCAGGCGTCAGCAGGGCCACGGTAGGTGTCAGGACCAGGGTCCCGAAGGAACCACGATCTACGGAGACCTGCTAGGGGAGAAAGCACAAAAAAAACTCCCGGAAAGAAGCTGAATTAGTCATGTGCATTAATAAAACTTGAATTATTGTAGAACGAGAGCGTGAGAGGAGCTCGGGGTGTCCTAAGAATTCCCCCGGCATTCTAAGCCTATAGCAGCTTAACTAAGGACTGGTCCGGACTAACCTGAGCCAGCCCTAACTATAGGCACAATCAAAGAGGAACGTTTTAAGTTTTACTTTAAAAGAGCTGACCGAATCTGCCCCCCGGACTGAAAGAGGAGCTTGATAACTGAAGGCTCTGGCCCCCAGCCTACTTTTTAAAACCATAGGAACAAGAAGTAACCCAGCATCTATGGAGCACAGCTGCCTTGTAGGGCAATGCGGTGTTACAAGCTCTTTAAGATACGACGTGCCTCACCAGCAAGTGCCTTGTAGGTGAGGAGAAGTACCTTAACATCTATTCTTGATTTAACAGGGAGCCAGTGCAGAGAAGTTAATACAGGAGTGATATGATCCCTTTTCTTAGTTCTTGTTAATACACGTGCTGCAGCATTCTGAATCAACTGGAGAGGCTTAAGAGATTCATAAGAGCAGCCTGATAACAAAGAATTACAGTAGTCCAGTCTGGAAGTGACAAACGCATGAACTCATTTTTCTGCATCACTTTGAGACAGGAAGTTCCTGATTTTTGATATGTTACGTAGATGAAAATAGGCAGTCCTTGAAGTCTTCTTTTTATGCGAGTTGAAGGTCATATCCTGGTCGAAGAGAACTCCCAGATTCCTGACGGTGCTGCTGGGTACCAGAGCAATTCCATCCATAAAAACTATCATGTGACAGCTGGCTTCAAAGGCGCTCTGGGCCTATCGGGATAACTTCCGTTTTTTCTGAGTTTAGCATCAGGAAGTTGCCGGTCATCCAAGTTTTGATGTCTCCAAGACATTCTTGAAGTCTAACTAGCTGGTCCGTCTCTTCTGGCTTGATCGACAGATACAGTTGAGTATCGTCTGCATAACAATGGAAGTTTATGCGGTGTTTCCTGATAAGATCGCCCAAAGGAAGCATATAGAGGGTAAATAAAATCGGTCCAAGTACAGAACCTTGTGGGACTCCGTGACCAACATTGTTGGTCTTTGAGGATTCACCGTTTACAAGCACAAACTGGGATCGGTCCGATAAGTATGATTTAAACCAGAGTGCAGTTCCTTTGATACCAATTAAATGTTCTAGTCTCTGCAACAGGATACAATGGTCTATGGTATCAAATGCGGCACTGAGGTCCAGCAAGACAAGAAAAGAGATGAGTCCTTGGTCCGATGCAAGTAGAAGATCATTCGTAATTTTCACCAGTGCTGTTTCTGTACTGTGATGCGCTCGAAATCCTGACTGGAACTCCTGGAACAAAGCATTGTTTTGTAGAAAGTCACATAATTGATTTGCGACGGATTTCTCAAGGATCTTAGAGAGGAAGGGAAGATTAGAGATAGGTCTGTAGTTAGCCAACACCTCTGAAGCAAGAGTAGGTTTCTTAAGAAGATGTTTAATTACAGTTACCTTGAAGGACTGTGGTACATGTCCTGTCAACAAAGACAGATTCATAATATCTAATAAGGATGTGCTAACTAAAGGAAAAACTTCCTTAAGCAGCTTGGTCAGAATCGGATCCAAGAGACAAGTAGAAGATTTAGACTTTGAAAATAAAGAAGTCAGTTGATCAAGGTTGATGGAAGAGAAGGCATCCAAACAGGCATCAGGGCCCACTGCTGCATCCAAGGTTCCTACATCGGAGGACGGGTCGGCACTGGTTGAAGGCAGGAGACCATCAATTTTCTCTTTGATAGTCAGAATCTTATCATTGAAGAAGTTCATGAAGTCGTTACTAGTGAGGTCCAAAGGAATACACGGCTCGACAGAGCTGTGACTCTCTGTCAGTCGGGCTACAGTGCTGAAGAGAAACCTGGAGTTGTTTTTATTTTTCTCTATTAATGATGAGTAATAAGATGCTCTTGCGTTACGGAGAGCCTTCTTATACGTTTTAAGGCTGTCTTGCCAAACTAGCCTAGATCCTTCTGATTTGGTGGAACGCCATAATCGTTCAAGTTTCCGCACAGTTTGCTTTAGGTTCCGTGTTTGAGGGTTATACCACGGAGCAGACTTCCTTCTTGTTGCTATTCTTCTTTCCAGAGGAGCAATAGCGTCCAGCGCCACTCTCAAAGAGCCTGTAGCAGTATCGACAAAATGATCGATCTGGGACGGACTGAGGTTCTCACAGGAGTCTTCTTGTATCTTGAGGCAGGGCACTGAACTTAGAGCAGAAGGAATGGCTTCTTTAAATAAGGCTACAGCGGTATCCGATAAGCGTCGGCTGTAGAAACCCTTGGCAGGAGGAGGTGGTTCTGATAGTAGAAATTCAAAGGTTATCAGACAATGGTCCGACAGGAGAGGGTTCTGTGGAAACATTGTTAAATGTTCAATTCCAATCTCATACACAAGCACCAAGTCAAGAGTGTGGTTAAAACAGTGAGTTGGTTTATTTACACACTGACAGAAACCAATTGAATCTAACAATGAAAGAAATGCAGTACTAAGGCTGTCGTTGTCGACATCCACATGAATGTTAAAGTCACCCACAATAATTACCTTGTCCGTTTTAAGGACCAAACTCGTTAAGAACTGTGAAAATTCAGAAATAAATTCTGAATAAGGACAAAGAGTTACAAAGAGAACCGGCTGGATTATTTTCCACGTCTGTTGCAAAAGACTGAAAACCAGGCTTTTAAATGAGTTATAATCCACCTTAGGTTTAAAGTTTATTAAAAGGCAGGAGTCATAAATAGCTGCCACTCCCCCCCCCTCGGCCTGTGCCTCGGGAATATGAGTATTAACATGTGTCACGGTGTGGTTCACTTCCTGTTGTATTTTGTAGTTTTCTGCCACTCGTGTCCCCGGGTAACTTCACTTCCTGCCTTGTCCCGTCATCCCCTGTGATCGTCTAATAGTTTCCACCTGTGTCCAATCACCTGCACCTCCCTTGTGTATTTAAGCCGTGTGTCTCTTGTGTCACTTGTCGCGTCATTGTCTTTTGCCGCGCATGTTCTTGTCTCCTGTTGTGGATGTCCGTAGGTTCATGCCTGTGTGTTTTTGCCCCTTGGCCTTTTGGATTTTGGATCTAGTAACTATTAAAGTCTTTTGTTTCGGAGAAGTCTGCATCTGAGTCCTGCCTTCCACCCGCACCCCTGACAACATGACTCGGAGGAGTCGCTTCATTTAAACAGAAATATTCCCCATTCAACAACCACGTTTCAGTAAGACAAAATACATCAACATGGTGATCTGATTTTAGTTCATTTACCAAAACAGCTTTAGATGACAGAAATCTGATATTCAAAAGACCCCCTTTAATTCTCCTATTTTGTTGCACTATTGCATTATTAGTTATAACTTTAATTAAGTTATTTACTACAACTCCTCGGTTGATTACCTTTAACTTAGATAAGTGTGTCCGTGGGGCAGACAAGGTCTCTATAGGGTTCATTATGCTGAGTGACTGCTCAGATCGAAGCGCAGAGAAGTGTGTAAGACTGCGACTCTGCTCCCTGGTCTGAACTCTGGGTCATGGATTAAGTCCACTAAGAAACTGGGTCAGGTTCTTAGAAAGAAGTTCAGCTCCGTCCAAAGTGGGATGGATGCCGTCCCTCCTAATCAGACCAGGCTCTCCCCAAAACGTCTTCCAGTGATCAACGAAGCCCACATTATTTACTGGGCACCACCTCGACAACCAGCGGCGGAATGACGACATGCGGCTGTACATGACGTCACTGGCCAGAGAAAACTACAGTGTCCGACATTGTTTTAGCGTATGTACACACCGATTCCACATTAACTTTAGTGACCTCCGAGCAGCGTAATCGGGAGTCATTACCGCCGACATGTATTACAATCTTACTGTATTTACGTTTATCCTTAGCCAGCAGTTTAAGATAAGACTCAATGTCGCCCGCTCTGGCCCCCGGTATACATGTAACTATGGTCCCTGGTTTCTCTAACTTCACGTTCCTCAGAGTGGAGCTACCTATCACCAGAGTTGGCTTCTCAGCGGGTGTGTCGCAGAGTGGGGAGAAGCGGTTTGAAACGTGAAGTGGTTGGTGGTTAATCGTGTGCTTCCACTTAGACTTATGCTTACTCCGGACAGTCTTGTAAGATTGTAAGTTAGCTCCTTAACAGAAGTTGTTAGCATTTGGCTACATGGTTTTGTTTTTACAAATCATTTCAAATCAATTGTGATCGTTAGCAAACGATTTAGAGAAGCACGTTAAGGACAAAGTGACGAAGGACTTGGATTAGCTCATTGAAGACATGGATGTGGGAGCTGACCTAACCGTGTGGTGCCCCATGGACCTCCATAGTATATTTTATTCTCCTTTGGGGGACATGGCGCAGCTGCTCGGAGGGTGCTGCAGTACGGAATAAGTTAATAATGTCAAGTGTGTTTTTCTGGTTTAATTTATTATCTTTTAAAAGTGACTGTATATCGTTTTGCAAATGTACTTAATATTTACTGATGGTAGCTTTGATGAACTTTTTACAGGCAAACGACAGGTCAGAGGCAATGGCGTCTGGTAGCGACGGCGCTCCTTTTCAAGTGTAGGTTTAAAGTTTCATGGCGTGTATGATTAATTAGGGTCGACTTGTTAATTATGGCTACATCAATTTTTTGCTGCATTTTAATGCAAGCGTTAGCTAACGTAACTGATTTGCAAGGTAACGTTAATGCAGACAGACAACCTCGGATCATAATTGTCACTATACAATCAGAAATTCATGAGGTCACGGAGCACCTCCTCTGATGGAGGAGAACATGTTATGCATGCAACACCTCAAATGCATTTAATAGAAATGTGAGCCACTAGAACTTTCCAGTATATCATACACACCATGCATAGAATTATATCTGTACCCCATTTTGTATGCAGATTTTGCATCAGAACCGTCATCTTTCTTTTTTTGTTTATTCTTAGCAATCGCAGCACCCTAACAAGTAGGTGCTAATGTAACCACTGTGAGGTGTCTTAGTGCTAAAATGATTTTCTGGAGCTGATCGCAGGTTTATTCCCTCATGGTAATCCTGTACACAACAGGTTCATGTTGGCAAATCCGCAATTGCATAGAGTACTAAACACCCATACAGTGATCGTACAGTGGCTGTACTGATTCAACTACAACTGAAACAGAACACAAACTCCCTCCCAACTGTATAACAAATACAATACAACACATAACCGAAAACATACAGATGAATCATACCGAATCTAACGTAAACAACAACGGACACACAAAGACGGCTACATGACTAGGAGGACAACATAGTATTGGTGTTAGCTAGCTAAAAACAGACGTTACAGACGATAAAACATATCACTAACTCAATAAAAACAAGTTTAAACAAAGACAACTAACATCCAACATAATAAAGCTAGCCACACCATGAATGAATATTTAAAGTAAATTAATTAAACATTGTCCACAGACATAAAAAAACACATTACCTCATGGCAAATCCTCAATTGCATAGAGGATTACCCACGATCCTTATCATCTTTTGGTCAGTGTAGGTACCGGTTTGTAGCAACAGGTGACATAGTTCAGCCATGTTAGCAGGATTCAATTATACCGTTTTAACTATGTTACACAATTAGAGATGCAATAATATGTAACTTAGAAAGGATAAGACGTGCTCCTACCTCAGCTTGACGTGACACACCCTGTCCCACGAGCGTTCGATCCAAGATGTTACTTCGCAGAAGAAACAAATTAGCATGTAACATTATACAGCACGGAGAGCTAAACACTCCACTAGATCTCCACTCTTTGCTGTCCTGCTCCTAAATGGTGGAAGGAGGTCTCTGAAGACATCAGGACCACAGAGAGCCTTCACATCTTCAGACTAAAGACACACCTCTTCAGACTCTACCTCCACTAACACACTAACTACCTGCAGCACTTACATTGGACTTATAATGGTTCTTATCTACAGCAAGTTGTACTTCGGCTTATTTGATGAAATTGCACTTTCTTGTTTCTTGTTTCTTTGAGTTTGTGTCCTTCTGGTTGAAATGTTCTTATCCTAAGTCGCTTTGGATAAATGACATGTGATCTAATGTAACAATAATTAGCTAGCTAGCTAACTAAGCTTATGGCGCTACAAGACTAAAGTGAATAAGAAGTTTCAAATAATTCACATAATTTACTCCGTTGTCACGTGTTACAACAAGGAGGGTACATCAAATATGTTTCACTTACACTTGAAGCGGAGCGATCGCCATCCTCTGACCCGCCGCTTTGCCTCCACAAATTGTGTAATTTAGCTGTAACGCTGGCAGCCTCGTGGAGGAATCGACTCATGAGTCTCAAAAAACCCACACACAAAGATGAAGTGATCCGCAAACAAAAACGCATCTACAACTATAAATATCACTCGTAATTTATAGATGTGTGCATTAAAATGTATTTGTGAATTGTTCCGTGTGTATTTGTGAATCTTCCCGTTTGCAATTATTGAGACTGTGCAGTGTTGAGCAGTGTTTTCCGATAACGTCGCCTAAAGGGAGTGTATATTTAAGCAATAAAGTACGAGAAGCTTTACTTCATCCAATATATATAAATAATAAATACTTTGTCCAATAATGTAACCGTTCGGGGGTGTTGTTAGGCCTGCCACACAGTTACATTATTGAAGATAAAGTACTGCCTCAAGTACCTTATTGCTTTCATAATACAGTTATTAGCGAGCTAGCTATGTAGCCAGCCGCATGCTAGTAAGTTGTGTTGGTAGTGTGCTAGCAACATATCTTCTCATCTTGGAAAGGGGGTCATCACGCGTCTCAACCAATGGAAGAATTTTGGGGCAGACCTACGACATATACATCATTTTAAATCTTTTCTAGATGGAGGTGATGTAACCAAAGTTATGTATAACAAAAGTTATTTAAAACCAGTCATGTTTAAAACACACAATAAGACTTGAAAACAAGTTGCTCTTAAATGTATCTCTTTATCCAGGTAACCCAGCCATGTTGTTCCCACCCCAGGTTGTTCCCCTCACCCTGGGTCCTAACGCCTTCCCAGTACTGCTTCTTATAAACATCAATAAGCATTATGAAAGCATTATCAATGTTCCAACATACATTCATAACCAACACCACAACTACTGAGCAGAGTTTTTGCTGATCCCTGATAAAAGAAAGCAGATATATGAATGTTATCTGTTGCTCCGAAGGTGACTGTTATAGTGAATGTTATAATAAAATGTTGATGCCCTGGCAGTGGCACACTTTTGTTTATATATTTGTACTTTTAATTTAGAAATTGGTACTGCCGGAGAACCAGCATACTAAAGTACACCAGTATAACCAGTACGCTACCTTGTATCAGGAAAAGCAGTATGCATGTTAAAATAAAACAGCAGAACCAGTATGTTAAACCAATATAACCAGTATGATACCTTGTATATCCCTACAACCAGTATGTTACACTAAACCAGTATAACCTGTATGGTACCTTGTATCAAGAGAACCAGCATGATCAAGAGAAGAAGTAGACTAGCAGTGTTTTGGTTCTGAACTGGTTCTGTCTGGGGGACCAGTATGAATATTGCGAGGTGCACTCAGCCCTTACTGCTGTGGGTTTGCCAGCTGGGGGGCTGGTACTTGTCTTTGATAGCAGACAGGGCGCAGCTGGAGGCGGCGTCTCGCTGTGTGGGTGTAGATTCTCTGTTGTCGTCCTCCTCCCCCTCAGACAGCAAGTCACAGATCTGCTGCTGCAGCTCCAGACTGATGTCGTTCTCCCCCAGGAGCAGAACCTTCAGACAGGTGGGGTAGTTCTCCACCATGTCCAGGAACACCTGTCACACATACAACAAGAACATCACAGCTTCAGGTCAAAGGCCACTCCCAGCTGTTATGTCACAGGGTATCACACTCACAGCCGATGGACTCGGTTTATTCAACCTTCTGTCACATGACCACGATGAACAGCATCAAAACGGGATGGGAGAGGAGTAGTAATGTCCCTGATGATAGCACTGATCATTTCCCTGATGATGTCACTGATTGTGTCACTGATCACATTACAACAACAACATCACAACACTGATGATGTCTGAATATGTCACTGATGATGAGTGTGATTGATCAACCTGTGCTGATTGGTTGGTCAGTCCGGTTCCCTCCAGGTCCAGCACCTCCAGGGTTCTACTGGACGCCACGGCAACCGCCAGCATTCCTGCAATCCGATCACCTGGAACCAGAACCAGAACCTGTGTATGTGTAGTGTAATGTTTAGTGTGTAGTGTGTGGCAGCGATGATAGGCTTGTGAGGACCAGGCCCATCATTTGGATGGGGTGTTCTGAATCCGAATCCGGTGGCTGCTTGGCCGGATTGTGAGATGAAGAGTGGGTCTGTAAGTGATGGGCTTTGGGATTGTCGAAGCTGCAAGTACATGAAAAGGGTTTCGAAAGGATTCAGGGGTGACTGTATCTTGAAGTAAAAACAGGTGTCAGTTGGCCTGATCGGTTGGTTTTTGTTTGCTTTGAGTAGAATGTTGTGGTGTAGAGACTGGATACGTTGTGTATGCAGGGATGGCGGCGTGCATTGAAGGTGAGGGTTGAGGCGGTAAACTCCGAGCATCTGACTAATCCGAAAAAAGCCAGGGAGAACGTGGTTCCTAAGGTTAATGCAAGGTGCGGATTATTGTATCTTGAAAGAAGGGAGAGAGCAGAGCCTGAGACACCAAGTTCCTAAAGGGAGGAAATAAGGATCTGGTGGTTGACTGTGTCAAATGCAGCAGAGACGTCCAGAAGGATGAGGACAGAGGAGAGAGAGGCGGCTCTAGCAGTGTGGAGTTGCTCTGAGACAGCGAGGAGAGCAGTCACTGTGGAACGGCCTTGAAGCCTGACTGGTGGGGGTCAAGGAGGTTGTTGGAGATAGGAGGAGAGTTGGTTAAAGATCGCACGTTCAAGAGTTTTGGACAAAAAGGGAAGAAGAGAGACCGGTCTGTAGATGTGTTCTTCAGAAGGGTTGAGGGTGGGTTTCTCCAGGAGAGGGTTAACTATTGCCTCCTTCAGAGAAAACAGCTAGATAACAGAGCGTTGTTGATGAGACAGGTGAGGAAAGGAAGAAGATCAGGAGCGATAGATTGTAAAAGATGTGATGGAATGGAGTCTAACCCTTTTTGTAGAACCAGCTTCCACTTTCAGTCCGGCGGGGGGAATTCAGTCAGCTCTTTTAGGATAAAGCTTAGCTTTCATCTTCCTCAACTGATGGAGGAGTTCCTAGGACACACCGAGCTCCTCTTTCCTCCGTCTCATTAATGCACATCCCTAATACAGTCTCTTCCCCTAAGTGTGTAGATTCCTGTGGATGGTTGTTCTATCTGATGGTTCCTGCAGTGTCCTGCCTTACACCTGGCTTATTACTCTCAATTTTTCATATCATGTCCTATGAATTGAACATATAGTTCATCTGTTAAGTTGTTTATTCTATACACATGACATCTTTAGCATTCTGTCCATCCTAACAGAGGGTTCTTTCTCTGCCGTTTTCTCTAAGGTTTCTTCCTTTTTTCATTTTCCTTTTCTGCTGTGAGGTCTGAGAATATTGCATGTGTACAGGTTGTAGAGCCCTCTGAGAAAAACTCAAAAATGTTGGGCTATACCAATGAAATACAAAATGAATTGAGTTGAATTGAATACTGTGTGGCGTAGTGTGTAGCAGTGTGTAGTTACCCAGTGAGTTGTAGTCGAGGTTTAGGACCCTCAGTTGGGAGCTGTGAGCCACAGCAATGGCGAGTCGAGCCCAGGCCTTAGAGCTGATTCCTGGGTTGGCGCTGAGAGTGAGTTCCCTCAAACCTATAGACACACAACCCACACTGTCACAAGGTGTCTGGTGGACGACATAAACAAAATATCTGACATACGCTCCTGTTTCTCAAAGCCATATCCTACTACTTGTGTCCCACCGACTTTACCTCTATTGCCCTCGCTTCCCTCTTTCACCCGCCTGTCTCCTAACCTCCTAAAAAAAGTTCTTACCTTAGTAACCTCTCCGACCACCTGCCCTCTTGACCCCATTCCATCACATGTTCAACAATCTATCGCTCCTGACCTTCTTCCTTTCCTCACCTGTCTCATTAACTCTTCTCTGTTATCTGGATTTTTTTCCAATTCAGGCAAGAGTTAACCCTCTCCTGAAGAAACCTGCCCTCAACCCATCTGAAGAAAACAACTACAGACCGGTCTCTCTTCTTCCCTTTATGTCCAAAACTCTTGAACGTACGATCTTTAACCAACTCTCCTCCTATCTCCACTGTAACAACCTCCTAGAGTCGGAACCTCAGTCGGAACCTTGTCCTCTTACTACTGGAGTTCCTCAGGGTTCCGCCCTGGGTCCCCTTCTCTTCTCGCTCTACACCAACTCTCTCGGCTCTGTCATTCGCTCACATGGCTTCTCCTACCACAGCTATGCCGATGACACCCAACTAATTCTCTCCTTCCCTCACTCGGATCTCTGCCTGCCTGACTGACATCTCTCAGTGGATCCGCCCACCACCTGAAAATCAACCCCGACAAGACTGAACTACTTCTCTTTCCGGGAAAAGATTCTCCTACACAGGACCTGACTGTTAACTTTGGCAATGCCCACTTTGACTGCAGGAACCTCGGCGTGACACTCGACAGCCGACTCTCCCTGACTCCAACATCACTGACCACACCATCCTGTAGATACACGCTCTACAACATCAGGAGAACACGTCCTCTTCTCACTCAGAAGGAGGTACTGATTCAGGCTCTTGTCATCTCCCTCCTGGACTACTGTAACTCTCTCCTGCAGGTCTCCTGCTACCACCACTCCACCTCTGCAGCTCATCCACAATGCAGCAGCTCGACTGGTCTTTAACCTTCGAAACATTTCCCACACTACTCAACTCCTCCGCTCTCTTCACTGGTACCGGTGGCTCATCCAATTCTAACCACTGGTGCTCACGTACCCTCCTGTGAATGGATGGGGTCCAGCTTACATCCAGGACCTGGTCCAACCTGACATCCCGACTTCTGACCTCTCCGCTCTGCATGTGATAAACTGCTTGTTCCTCCTCACTGAGAGCAAAACACTCGACTAGATCTCCACTCTTTGCTGTCCTGCTCCTAAATGGTGGAAGGAGGTCTCTGAAGACATCAGGACCACAGAGAGCCTTCAGATCTTCAGACTAAAGACTTCAGACTCTACCTTGACTGAAAACACTAACAAATGGTAGCACTTCAATTGTACTTATAACGCCACTTATCTATAGTATGTTGTAAATTGGCTTATTTAATGAAATCACACTCTCTTGTTCTTCTGTGTTTGTATCCTTATGGTTGAAATGTTCTTATTGTAAGTCGCTTAGGATAAAAGTGTCAGCTAAATGACATGTAATGTAATGTGTGTATTACCTGACTTGGCTCCGTCCGGAGGCAGCATCCCACAGATCAGACCCAGCGCATCGTCTCCCAGCATGCAGTCTCCCAGGTCTAGACAGACCAGCGTTGGGTGGCTGGACAAGGCCATGTTCAGGGTCACCAGGCCGGCGTCCATCAGTGGGCTGCCATGAAGACTGGAGGAGGCAGGGAAAATTCAATTAAACTAATTTCGTATAGTAATCGCAAATTACAAATTTGCCTTAGAGGGCTTTACAGTCTGTACACATGTGACATCCTCTGTCCTGAAACCCTCACAACGGCACAGGAAAAACTCCCAAAAAATGAAAACCCTTTGATGGAGGGGGTGGGGTGTCACGGTTTGGGTTCACATCCTGCTTTGTTTTGTAGTTTTCTGCCTCTTGTGTTCGTTATGGACAATACATGACTAGTACAGAAGTCCAACAACAAACGTGGGCTCGGGTTCGGATCAGGGAGGTCGTTTCTCCAAGTTATCTCCATCGTCGCTCACGTGCGCATTAAAGTCTCCCAGTAGGACTGTGGAGTAGCCTACCGGAGCCCCAAGCAGGACTCCATTCAGGGTCTCCGAAAAGACTGTATACTCTCCAGTGCTGTTTAGCGCACACGCACAGACAAGTCAGTTCCCCCCACAGAACCCGAAGAGAAGTGAACCTTTTGTCCATCAAATCCAACTGTCTCCTTTCTTCCGAGAGAGGTGGCATTCCACGTCCCCAGAACCAGCATCTGCTGTCCAGGTCCGTCCAGACCCTCCCACTGCCACTGCCCCCCTTTGAAGCAGCGCACCCAACCCCATCGTTTTTTCGCACAGGTGGTGAGCCCCTGGGAATTCGAGTAGGGGGGTGCCGCATCCCTCCTCATGGCTGTGACCGAGTATAGCTAAGTATGGTATTATTATTCAGATTTAAGCAGTTTGTACATTTATACAGAACCTTCACAACTTGACAATACCTAGTAGAGCAGTGTGTAGTTTAGTGTGCGGTGTGTAGTTTAGTTTAGTGCTTTCAGGTATTCTCATGTTTAGAGGTGGTCTTGTGTTTACAGGTCTACAGGAGGAAGCAGCAGAACCAACAGCTGCACTCACAACAGGGTCTGGAGGGACCGGTTGGTCTTCAGGGCGTCGGCCAGGTGTCTCGTCCGGCTGAGGCCGGAGACGACCCCCAGGTTGAGATTGAGCTGGGCGAGCGAGTGCGACTCCGCTACGCCACGACACACATGCCCAAAGTCCCGGTCAGAGAGCTGGCAGCCGCGCACGGAAAGCAGCCGCAAGCCGTCTTCCTTCAGGCTGTCACAGATGTCCTGAACCTCGGCCGCCGAAAGCAGCTCGCCTGTGATCTGGATGGCGGCCGGTAGCATGCCAGGACGGGACTGGAAGCATTGGGAGCGCTGGGACACCTGGAGAAAGAGGCAGGGGAAGCTGGTGAGCAGCAGGTCTCCCATTGGTCGGTACCAAAGTCCTTACATCACTTCCTGTCAGTTAGTTATCCTTTAGTTATTTAGGGGCTGGATTATATTAGTCAAAAAATAACCTTAATGTCTATTCCTAATCCTATTCCTTGACCTCTGTGGAAAACGTCACAGGGTCAAAGAAAGATGGTTAGGAGAGTTCACGAGTTAGGAAAAGACAGCGTGTTGTCTAAGAAATCCGACCCCACTTTCACTAAGCTACTAGGTTATGACCCGACGGGAGACACGTGCTAGTGAATAGTGGTTAGGAATAGACGTTAGTAGGTCATTTTTTGAAAATTAGAATCCAGCCAGGAGATGAGAGGTCAAAGAAGCAGTAGAAACGTCCATGATGCTCCCTGCTCAAGTGTCTTATGCAGCCAACTGAATTGAGACACAGCTTTCCTGGTGACAACCTCCAATTAATTACAGTAGTATGTACTATAAAGTAAGCAGTGATATTGTGAAAGTAGTATTTATGTATTAATCTAATCAATAACCAATAAATGGGAAGTATTGATTAGCAGGACTTGAAACGAATCAGCTGATCAAACACGGGGTCAGGCTCTGATTGGTGCTGCAGTAAGGAGATCAACTGACCTGATAAAATGATCGATCAGCTCAGCGGGGAAGATCGGGACTGTCACGCGCTGATGTCGTTCACTGCTCCAGTGGCTTTGATCCTTCCGCAGGCCACGCGCCGGTTCCGATCCACCGCGGTGGACATCACGGTTGATCGATCCCGGGATCGATTGATTGGTTTGAATTGTCGGCAGCAAGGTGCAGGAAGCGGGGGATGTAGAGGAGGGGCGCGGGGGGCGGTCCGGTGGCCGGTGAGCTCCTCGAGGTGACCGTTGCTATGAGAGACAGAGATAAGTACGTCATCAGGAGGGGTCACTCTTGCCGGTTTAGCAGGATCGAGCAGAAGAGCTACGAGATTATTGATCCGAGACAATGACATGTAATTTGCATTCATGTGTATTATTATTATTAAAACTGTTGCCATTTTATTTTTCTCATAATCATTATTATTCTTGTTAGTTTTATTGGCATTGTTATATTATAGCTGTTAGTTATTATTTGTTATTATTATTCTTGTTGTTGTTCTCAATATCATCAATATATCAATATCATAATTATTGTTGTCATTACTAATATTATTTCATTTGGTTGGAATATATTTTATGAAGGAAGTGACAACTCTTCACTGACAGACGATCTTTATGGCTGTGACGTCACAGCCCACTGAGCCCCGTTTTAATCCGCCTCGGAATTGAGCTGATCTTGAATGTTTTATATTTTATAGACAAGATTCATATATGTATTTTCCTTTTCAACCTTAACATTTTGAAGAAATGTGACATTTGGTTAAATTATTAAGTCCAGGAGGCTGAGGTCCATCAGGACTTTAAGACCTCCCGCCACACAAACAGTTTCTTCCCGTCGGCAGTCGGGCTCATCAACCTGACGGCCCCCCCTCTTCACGCTGCACATGCACACGCACACTTGTCACTTTCACATGCACTCACAACCAAAAGGTACACGGACCCTTTTCGCCAGTGTACTTTTTATTTTGAATGAATTCATTTTTATTTTATACCCCCCTCGCCTACAGCCTTCTATTTTATACTGTAGATCTAAATGACATTTTTCTTGCATGTTTATTTGTCTTGTTGTCCATTGTCCCACTGTTTGTAGTTGTAAGTTATAAGTTTTATATATATATATAAGTTGTGATGTTGATGTTGTCAATAAAGTTGTTCATTCAAATTCATTTTGCGTCCGTTGTGTTGCTGCCTAGTGACGTCTCCGGAAGTGTCTGCGGCTGCAGCTAGCAGCGGCTAACGGCTACTACCAGCTACCTGAAGCTCCTAACCCACGGACAGGTCGACAGACGGAGAGACAGACAGACAGGTAAGAAGATCAATACTTATTCTTCTAATTATTCTACGTCATAAAACGGAGCAGAAAGAAGAGCAAATTAAGCGGAGGGGGAACTGAAGCTAACTAGCTTTGTTAGCGGTTAGCTTCTCCCGGTGTTCAGTGTCCGGACATCCACTTTATGTTTCATATGATTCCTTCATTTTAGAAATCCTCACACAAAATACATAAATAATAATATGCACTAAACAAATAGAATATGTAAATATATTTAAATAATTACGTCCACTTTAGCAGAAAACTGTTTAATTTTAAAATCTTAATGACTATAACACAGAAGGAGTTAAACAAATGACTTGATATTCATTCACGTTTTTTGAAAAAAATACCAGAGGTTTCTTCAGAAAACCTGTACAGTCAATATTATCAATAAATAATCAATACACTGAAAGAAATGAGTTATCTTCAATCAGATAACAATGAGCTGAACATCTGGTTCCTCTGAAAACATCTGCAGTGTCTCCCAGTGTACAGCCTGTGTGTGAGGTGAGGAAACACTGATCGGGTTCTCCAAGAACAGCCAGTCACATTCTGAAAAGAAATGAGTGTAATTGTTAAAAAAGCGACCTCCCAACGTCTATTCCTTTCCTAACCACTATTCCTTGACCTCTGAGGAAAATGTCATGGGATCAAGGAAAGATGGTTAGGAGAGTTGATGAGGAGTTAGGAAAAAACAAAGCGCCTCCACTTCCACTAAGCTGCGTAGTTGTGATGGACGGAGACGCAGTGCAGCGGCTCCAAAGAAGCATCTCAGACGCTTCATGTGTTGTTACAGTGTGAGTCATGCAGACGACAAACAACCAGGTTAAAAAAATACATGAAACATAGAACATACATGACGTCTGATAACAGGAACCTTAATCCAGCCGGGATGTGTTGATCAAACACTTCCGCGCTTTGTCACAAGGTTCAATGACTGCTTTTGAAAGTGAGTGTTAAGTTGTGTTATTGTTGTTGACAAACCGTCTGTCTCTCAGTGTGTCTGTGGATGGAAGTGTTGAGCTCAGCGATGGGACCGGAGCGCGTCTTACCAAACTCTGAGGATGAGCTGGGGGGGGGCGAGCGCCCAGCCGATGGAGCCATGCTGCCTGCGTGGAGTGGGGGGGAGGAGGAGGAGGAGGAGGGGGAGGTGGGGTCCGAGATGGAGCTGGATGGAGAGGAAGAGGAGAACGATGGAGGATATTACTACCAACCCCTGAACCAGGAACCTGAGGGGGAGGAGAGGGCCGTGGGGCAGGAGGACACCCCCCCCTCCACTGAGCAGCTTCAGCAGAGGATACAGGTGAGTTGTGTTTATACAAGCATTTATTATCATAGTATAACACATCAGTGTTTTAATAAAGCTTCCACTCTTTATTACAGGGGTCTCAAACTCCGGGTGTGGCAGACCGCCACGGGAGGTGGGGTACCGACCGGCGTACCCCACCCCCCGTCGACCATGCCGTTCGGACGCTAGTCTGGCCCGCGTTCGGTTGAAGTGGGCTGCTTCTGGCCCGCAGCTGATTTGAGTTTGAGACCCCTGCTTTATTACATCATGTGTAAAATGTATCATCATTGTTATTATTATTCTCATAATCAGCAGCAGAAGTCACTGAGATAATGCTTCTGTGTTTATCGGTTTACGTTAATGAATCTAATACTCTAATATTACTTAGAGACACTTTGTGCGTCAATGTCCAGATAATCTTGAGGTGGAGAAGATGAAGTCTACATCCAAGGTTGGTCACCTGGTTCACTGCCCAGAGCCCCTCCTGTTTTAGTACGTTTATATTCCAGTACCAAGGTACCAAGGCAAGAATCAGGAATCAGGAAACATTTATTGCCAGGATGTCAGACATACAAGGCGGTTGGTGCATAACAGCAGACAGTAGGACAAAGGACAACAAGACATAAGACAACATAGTGCAAGAGGAATAAAATGAAATCTAATGATGTGGGTTAGTTTAAAAATAAAGTGAACCAGCGAACAGAAAGTGACGAGTTAAAGTTGCATGTGCAGTGTGAAGCAGAGTGACCGGTGGGATGTTATAGTCAGTCAGTGGGGGGCCATCAGGTTGATGAGCCCGACTGCCGACGGGAAGAAACTGTTGGTGTGGCGGGAGGTCTTAGTCCTGATGGACCTCAGCCTCCTGCCAGATGGAAGGGGCACAAACAGGTTTTGTCGGGGTGAGAGGGGTCGGCCACCATCTTTTTAGCTGCTTCAGAGACCTGGAAGCGAACAAGTCCTGCAGGGACGGCAGATTGCAGCCGATCAGCCTCTCTGCAGAGCGGAGGACACGCTGCAGCCTGCCCTTGTCCTTGGCTGTGGCTGCAGCGTACCAGACGGTGATGGAGGAGCAGAGGACGGACTCCATGATGGCCGTGTAGAAGTGGACCATCATCGTCTTTGGCAGGTTGAATTTCTTCAGCTGCCTCAGGAAGAACAACCTCTGCTGAGACTTCTTGGTGATGGAGCTGATGTTCAGCTCCCACTTGAGGTCCTGGGTGATGATGGAGCCCAGGAAACGGAAGGAACCCACAATAGTGACGGGGGAGTCACACAGTGTGATGGGGGAGGGTGGGGCTCTGTTCCGCCGGAAATCCACAACCATCTCCAGTGTCTTTAGAGCGTTGAGCTCCAGGTTGTTCTGGCTGCACCACGACACCAGATGGTCAGACTCCACCTGTAGGCGGACTCGTCCCCACCAGAGATCAGTCCAATGAGGGTGGTGTCATCCGCAAACTTCAGGAGCTTGACGGACTGGTGGCTGGAGGTGCAGCTGTTGGTGTACAGGGAGAAGAGCAGAGGGGAGAGAACGCAGCCTTGGGGGGAACCGGTGCTGATGGTCCGAGAGGCTGAGACATGTTTCCCCAGCTTCACCTGCTGCTTCCTGTCAGACAGGAAGTCAGTGATCCACTTGCAGGTGGAGTCGGGCGGTGCAGCTGGGAGAGTTTGTCCTGCAGCAGAGACGGGATGATGTGTTGAAGGCAGAGCTGAAGTCCACAAACAGGATCCTGGCGTAGGTTCCTGGGGAGTCCAGATGCTGGAGGATGTAGTGGAGGGCCATGTTGACAGCGTCGTCCACAGACGTGTTGACAGGTCTGTAGATGATCGCAACAGGAAACCGAATTAACAAAAAACGAAGCGCACCGAAGCACCGTGGCAGCCATCGTCTGCGCCATCTTGGAGAGCTGTGTGAAGCCTTGATGCATGACTTGTTAATTCGATTTCCTACTTGCAAGTTTTATTTAATAAATGTTTTAAAAAAAAGATTTTACACTGGTGTTGAGTGAGAATTATGTCAAGGTTCATCGTCGTGCTGATCGCTGACCTCGTCCTCCCCTGTGGTGACACATGTCTGCTCTAATTGGCTGTGGAAATCACGTCTCTCCTGCAGGTGATGGGGCTGCACCTCCCCGAAGCCCCGCCCACGGACAGCGATGATGAGGATGACCCTGAGGGGGCGGCGGCCTTGAGGAGCCGAGCCTCTATCCCCATGGACGCAGGTCAGGCCTCCTTACACTACATCAAACCCTTGGCATTGTGGGTAATTGGGAGGCCATTGCTCACCATCAATATATGGAGAAAACACCCTCCAGATAATAATTCAAAAAGCGCTCCAGCTGATTTATGATACCTGATGGTGAATGTAGTCAATTGAAGCCTCACTTTCTTTTTTACCTGTAACAATAAAAGCCCAACTTTAATTCCTCTACGGGGGGCGAAATGGGGATGTCGTTTATTTCCTTCTCTAAAAAGCAAATAAAAACAGCTGCACTTCGTGTCTTTCAAAATCTCCCTACAGACCACGTGGAGCTGGTGAAGAGGACCATGGCGGCCATTGCGTTGCCGTCTCTCGCCGTGCCGTCCTGGGCCAATGAGATCTCAGATGACCAGTGGAAAGACATGGTACAGAACACACTGGAGAGCCGGCAGAGTGCCGCCGCACTGCACCTGCCCCGCAGGAACAACATCAACGGACCTTGAATGCACCATGACAGCTTCAACGACTGTCCCTGAATGCACAGCAACAGCCTCTGCTGACCCTGAACGCACCACTGCTAACTTTTACTTTATATGAAAAACTTTCAAGTTCAAGCTGAATGTTGTTGAATTGAATCCCTTAGTTTGTCTATTTAGAAACCGGGTACAGTATTCTTGTCATTTCTTTGATCTGGATCAGTTTTCAGTGTGACCACTGGAGGTCTGGTTCAGCTGATCAACTCTGGACTGAAGCCGGACCGGCTAAAAGGAGCTAGCTGATGGTAACGTTCATAGTTAGCTCACTAGCTAACGGATGGATGATAACAGTAAAGCAGTACAAATTAATGAAGTAAAACGCCACCTAACGTTTGCTTACACGCTAAAAAGCTACCAAATTTTGTAAATGTTCATGTTGTATTTTCACGAACAAGTCAAACTGACACCATCATCTGACCTTTGCTAGGTAGCCAATGAAGGGTTGGCTAGCTAACCTTTGCTTCCAGTTGTTAACTTGTCATGAAAAGCTGTTTTATTAATGTGATAAACTGTAGCTTTAGTTTTTCATCTCATGATAAAATATTGTGATTTACTTTGTCGACTACAAACATTTAATCAAACTCACTGAACATATAAAAGGTAACAAATAGCAAACATTACAGGGGCGCTAGCTAATGTTAGATTAGTACAGACAATATTATTTCTAAAATTGTGCGCTAAAAACATAAGGAATAATTCATTGTAAAAAGGTGAATATTTTTCTCAGAAAATAAAATCTTTGATTTTTCCTTGTCGATTGTTATTACTCGCTTAATATTTAATTTCGAACAATATTTGTAATGGGATAGTATGCTTTTAGCAGTAAGACACAGAACCTGATTGACAAACATGTGCACTTTATTTAGCTTTTGACCATGTACATGTGCAAAAAAGGACTGTATTCTAATAAGTACACCATGGGGTTAAGCAGCCTTAAATCAGAGTGAGGAAACACTAAATAATAAACGGGAGATCGTCCTCTGATGTCTTCGAAGTTAATAAAAATCAATAGAGGTAAATGTGCTACAACACTTTATATTTAATCGTCCTGAATCACGTTTTTACACACGTGGCGGCAACCAAGAAAGGTGGGCGGAGCTTAGCCACCACTGGAATGGTTATTGATTTGAGAGTAACAAGGGGTGTGGCCTCCTGTAAGGCCTGGCTGTGAGCATAAACAAATAAAGCCATGTTGTTCAGTCATCGGGTCCGTTTCAAGAAGCAGGTTGAGTGTAAACTCAGTTTGTTCACCCTGAGATGAAGGAAACTCTGGCTTGTTTCACAAAGGGAGGTAACTAAAGCTCAGGCTCAGTCACCATGGTAACTAAAGGTCAGGCTCAGTCTCCATGGTAACTAAAGGTCAGGCTCAGTCACCATGGTGACTAAATCTCAGGCTCAGTCTCCATGGTAACTAAAGCTCAGGCTCAGTCTCCATGGTAACAGCCTGTGAACATCACCTGGTCGGGAGCAGGTTTTCTTTCTCCTTCCACAGGCTCCTCCCTCTGACAGCAGCCCAGCCAATCACACAGCGCGCTTTACTTTCCTCATTCATTCATTCACTCTGTATCAGTTTACACATATGAACAAAATAAGATGTTACGTTAAAGACTAAAGTGTTTTCTGGAACACGTCACGCCCTTTTCTGGACGATCCTGTTGATGAAGCGCTTTTACTTCTCAGGCTGTTAAACACGTGAGGAGAGAATATTGAGGCCTGATTAGATATATTCTCATTTCCAGATGACTACTTGTTTGAACGCTATCGTTTTTCTTCACCGTCCAAATATGTCCATGACCTCAGCCGTCTTCATAGAAGTAACGTCCCCATGGTGGACGTGCTCTCACATACGAGCACATTCTTTGTGTCGTATTACATGTTTTCCTTTACAACATTAGAATATCAGTAAAGCTGCTGCATGCAGAGCCGTGAGAAACGTCTTTTAAACCTTTTTGTTGGACACAAACCAGTGAGACGTTAAAGAGGAGTTCAGCAGGACGCACCTGAAGGAAACACATTACAGGTCCAACACCATCGAACCAGTTTATACCAGCGATATTATTCTAAATATGAGGAAGTGTGTGTATTTCCAGCCTGTGTGTACTGCATTCAGAGTGTAAAAACTGGGAATTAGTAAAACGTATAGATTATGATTAGTGATTAATCAAATATTAACTGACAACACTATGTTAGAACTTACGCCGTTTCTCTGTCTTTTCTGTCTAATTACGGGTTCATACTCGTACGTTGCGTTTGCAGCTCAATAGGGGTGAATATACTGTTGGTGGTGGTTGTCATGGTAACTGGTAGTATCGTGGCTCCATTCATGCTGCCTTCATACTGTGATGCTGCACGCACTCAACTCTGAGTCAACCGACTCTGAACAGCTGCTCTGAAACCAGAAGCTCAGAGTCTCCGTCTCAGCGTAAATCAAGTCAGAGTTTAGGGTTTGACTCAGAGTTTGTTAAACCTCCCACTTGAAACGGACCGTTTGTCTCTTTCTTTACTATTGTAGTTTAGTGAAGTGAGATGTTCAATGTCTGTCGATAACAAGAAGCTTTGAACTAAGAACCGATGTAGTGAGAATATTATATATCACTTATGATCAATAAACATGAAAATGTTAGAATGAATGTAGGAACTTTAGACGTTTATCAGACAGCAGAGAATCATGGGAGATTGAAAAGTTTGTGTTGTGGTTTTGTGGCCAGCTTTTATTTTGACAGGACAAAACATTCCTATTGGTTCCGTCCGTTGCATGGCGGTTCTCCAGCAGCGTCTGTATTTTTCCCCGTCAGCCCTGAACAAGTTTGACCTCTGACCTCATAGGGCACTCAACAAAAGTTGATGACGTGACTTAACGTCACCATGGATGCTGATGGGACGTCCACATTCACTGTGTCTCCTCTTCCTCATCTCTTGTCCGCTGACAGAGGATTGGTCGGATCAGGTGGAGGGGCGGGGCTCTGTGCAAGTCACGGGACAGACATGTTGGAGATCTTTTGCATGGCAGGAACTTAATGCTTAATCAGCTGCCACTGATCTTGTTTTCATATGTTGGGTTCCTCCTGATAGTACTGAACCTTCAGATGATGGTGTGAATACAAACGTTACCTGAACACCACACAGACGGGCCGGGACTCTAGTTGTTAAAATGTAGAATTCATCATCAAATAGTGAAAGGTTTTCTTTTTAGCGTGGATCCATTTCTTACACGAGGAGAACTGAGGAACCTCAGGAGAAAGTTCCTCCACAGCCTTGTGCAGTTCTGGAGAGGAAAAGCCCGCTGGTGATGCCCTCAAGAACCTCGGCTCTCTGAGTGCACAAGGCTGCGTTCAGGTCAGATGGATGAATACCGATGCAGGTGTGGGAGGTGATGTCATTCTCACATGTTCTACTTGTTAGCGACCACCAGGGTTCAGCTTCTACATCCAATCAGAGAGTCCGGCTTAGAAGAACCAGCCTCGTCAGAGGGTTTCCTGATTGGCTGTCAGGTACTCCTCAGCCCTCTTGTGAGCCTCCAGGGCTTTGATGGTGTAGACATCCTGAGGAAGCTCGGACTTCCTCCTCATCAGGACTTTCTCCTTCTTCAGGTCCTTCAGACCCTGATGGGGGGGAGAGACAGGTGATCAAGAGACAGTGAGGTGTGTATGACAGAGACACAGAGACAGACAGGTCACCTGTGAGGCCTCCGTCTCCACAGCCTTCTTTAACAGCTGGATGTCTTCAGCCGTTGGAGTCTCTGTCTCCATTGAGTACACAGCTACGGTACTATCACTGTACAACATGTACTACAAAGATACAAAATGTCCGTGTTCAAAAATGAATGAGGGAAAACTTCTATTTACACTGTTAATGACTAGTGACTGACCTCCTCCTGTGGGTGGAGTCCTGGGCGGAGAGGGTGGAGCCTATTGCTCTGAAACAGACAGTTAATTCCATAAATATGAGTAACTATATCTATCGATACGGATATCTATAGCAGAGTACCTGAGGGTTCTGTCGGGCCAGGCCCTCGATCTTGTGCCAGATCTCCTCTCTCTCCTTCAGCTTATACTTCTCTCTGCAGACAGAAGCGGATCAATAACTTGTCGAGACTTTCCACGTTCACGCTGGTTGTGTGTCGTTACTTTTGTTTCTCGGCCTTGAACTGCTGCGTGCAGTCGTCAAACAGCTTCTGGTTCATCTCCATGAAGAGCTTGAGAGCGTTGTAGATCAGACCATGGATGGTCCTGAGGAGCAGAAGCACACATGAGCTCCGTCCCATTAGCATGTGCTAAAGTTAGCGTGATTAGCATGCGAGTCAGTGGAAGCAGTGAGCGTGTGTGAGCGCGTTACTTGTTCCAGTGGCTTTTGGAGTTCTTGTAGAGGGAGGGGAACATGAGGGGGAGGATCTTAGCAGCGTTGTCACTGATCAGACTCATGATGTACTCGTTGTTCCAGTAATAGAGAGCCCGCTCTGCTACCTGTGACATCATCATCATCATCAGTATCTTCACTACATATACAGTATCATGAGTTCATGTTCTGGTACCTGGAAGTGCGGGCTGGACACACACTTGGCCATCTGTCTGAAGAGCGGCTCCTGCACTTTGACAAACTCAGAGGGTTCGATGACGTCTAGAATTTCCTCCAACTCGTTGAGGAACATCACTTCCTTGGGACTGTGAGTCTTAGGCCAGAACTTCAGCAGACCAATGATCACCTGCAGGGGTCAGAGGGTCAGCCGGGAACCCACATGTTTCTGTATTGTCATGGAAACACGAGTAAGACTCACCGGCTCGGTCAGACTGCTGTCTTTCTCCAGGAACTGGACCACACAGTATGCCAGCTGCAGAAGGAAGGACACAGAGTGAGAGACACAGAGAGGGAAGGAGACACAGAGCGAGAGACAGGGAGGGAGGAGACAGACCTGTGGGTGGTACACACTGAGAGACTTCACTTTATGAAGCGGCAGCAGAACTCTGATGAGAAACATCTTGTGTTCTTCTTTCAGAGGGAGAGCGAAGCCGTTAATGATGCTGAGGAAGAGACACGTGTTAACCATCGCCATGGCGACCAACCTGTGTGTGTGTGTTTTACCTCCCCAGGATCTCCAGCAGCTCAGCAATGCCGTTATGGTGTTCTGTCTCGTAGATGAATCTGTAAAAAAAAAAAGGTTTGTGTCTCTATTGATCGATAGCTGATCTATACATTACATGTCATTTAGCTTTTTTTTTTTTTACATTTTGCCCGTGGAGCAACTAGGGGTAGGTGTCTTGCTCAGGGACACTTCGACATGGGACATGGGGCAGCCGGGGTTCAAACCGCCAACCTTGCGGTTCCCGGCGCACCAGCTCTACTCCATGCGCCACCATGGACCGTATACACACAGATATTAATTGGATTCCAACCTGTAGAAGATGTTGTTGATCTGCCGGCGGATGTAGGCTCGGAGGCCCAGGAACTTGCCGTAAATCCGGTGGAGGATGGTCTTCAGGAAGTCTCTCTCTCGAGGATCCTCGCTGTCAAACAGCTCCAGCAGCTTGGAGACAAAAGGTTCAACTCAGTCAGTCTACTGCCCCTCCAGCCAGCAGGCTCCTCCCTCCAGCCAGCAGGCCCCTCCCTCCAGCCAGCAGGCCCCTCCCTCCAGCCAACAGGGCCCTCCCTCCAGCCAGCAGGCTCCTCCCTCCAGCCAGCAGGCTCGTCCCTCCAGATCTTACCGACATCACAAACTTCTGGTCGATGTGTTTCTTGGCCACGTTGGGCTGGAAGTCAGCTGACTCCAGGAAGCGGAGGAAGAACTCGTAGACGAGCTGAGGACACAAAGACAAGACAACTCAAAGGTACACAGTACAAGTACGCTCTAGGTGTACATGTACTACAGTAGAGGTACTTTCATACCTGCAGGTGGGGCCAGGCGGCCTCCAACGTGGGCTCGTCCTCTTCAGGGTCAAACTCTGCTCCGGTCGGGTTGGAGGATGGTGGAAGAGTGCGGAACAAATTCACTGAAAACTGAACACACCCACACAGTGAGTATCTTGTTGGACAATCAGGGATATTAATGAAAGTGTTTAAAAGGCTGAAATGCCTTTTGTGTTACAAGCTGTGTAGTTTGTTAGTCCTTTATGAGATTTTTGTAGTTATCTATGCACATGGTACGAGAGGCAGTACCGTATCGTCAATGATATCATGTTCAAGGGCTCAAGGGTGTTGTTACCCCGACGGGTAGCAAATGATTAGCTAAGAGAGCAACATTTTGTGCGTCTTCTGAGAACATCCCAGGTCTCCTTGCTAGCTCTTAGCCCCATCTCATTCATTACCATTCTATCATGATCCGTAAAGTCCTGTCCGAGGAGCCAGGCATCATTAATGCCACCTGGTACGTAAGATACAAGCTCTATAGATGCAGGAGCCAGGCATCATTAATGCCACCTGGTACGTAAGATACAAGCGCTATAGATGCAGGAGCCAGGCATCATTAATGCCACCTGGTACGACCCCTTTCATGTCATGTGGTGTTTGGTATCAATGGGGATAACTCTGTGTGCAAAGTTCAGTTTGGTAAATGGAAGAAGGGGTGAGTGTCTTATTTTGTTGTCTGCTAAAACTACTAAGTACTGTATACTAAAATAAAACAAGAAAACAGTCACTGGATCGTTGACTCATTGAAGGTTCTCTCCCTACTGACACCAACAAGTTTACGATCGTCCCCGACAATAGATCCATACGACATACAGCGCATCCGCATCACAGCGCTCCACCACATTGTTATGTTACAGCCTTATTCCAAAATGGATTAAATTCATTATTTTCCTCATCATTCTACACACAACAACACATAATGACAAAGTGAAAACTGTTTTTTGCAAATTTTTGCAAATCTGTTAAAAATAAAGAAGGAAAACATAACATGTACATAAGTATTCACAGCCTTTGCCGTGACTCAGCATGTAGCTCAGGTGCCTCCTGTTTCCACTGATCATCCTTCAGATGTTTCTACAACTTGATTGGAGTCCACCTGTGCTAAATTCAGTTGATTTCAGTAAGGTATCACAGCTGACAGTGCATATCAGAGCATAAACCAAGCCATGAAGACCAAGGAATTATCTGTAGACCTCAGAGACAGAACTGTATCGAGGCTCAGATCTGGCGACGGGTACAGAAAGATTTCTGCAGCATTGAAAGTCCCAATGAGCACAGTGGCCTCCATCAAATGGAAGAAGTTTGGAACCACCAGGACTCTTGCTAGAGTCGGCCGCCCAGCCAGACTGAGCGATCGGGGGAGAAGGGCCTTAGTCAGGGAGGTGACCAGGAACCCGATGGTCACTCTGACAGAGCTCCAGCGTTGTTCTATGAAGAGAGGAGAACCTTCCAGAAGGACAACCATCTCTGCAGCACTCCACACATCAGGCCTGTTTGGTAGAGAGGCCAGACGGAAGCCACTGCTCAGTAAGAAGCACATGACAGCCCACCTGAAGGACTCAGACCATGAGAAACAAGTCTCTGGTCTGATGAAACAAAGATTGAACTCTTTGGCCTGAATGCCAAGCGTCATGTCTGGAGGAAACCAGGCGCTGCTCATCATCTCGCCAATACCGTCCCTACAGTGAAGCATGGTGGCAGCATCATGTGGGGATGTTTTTCAGCGGGAGGAACTGAGAGACCAGTCAGGATGGAGGGAAAGATGAATGCAGCAAAAAACAGTTTTCACTTCATTATGGGTTGTTGTGTGTAGAATGTTGAAGAAAAAAATGAATTTAATCCATATTGGAATAAGGCTGTAACATAACAAAATGTGGAAAGAGTGATGCGCTGTGAATCCTTTCCGGATGCAGTGTAGCAGCTCAGTAGATGCCCTTGTACAGTGGTAGGGTAAACAGTGTGTGTACCATGAACACGGCCTCGGGGTAGATGACCTCCGTCACCACCTCACTGTTGTGTGTGATGAACTCCACCATCTCGTTGAGGCCGGCTCTCTTCACCTCTTTGTACTTCAGGTCGCTGAGCGGATCGCTGATGAAGTCGAACAGGACGCAGCACTGACGGAGCTTCTGCACAAACAGCTCCTCCTGCTCCACCGGGGGGGAGTCTGGGGGGGCGGAGGCTCAAAGAGTCAAACGTGGGTGTAACAGTGTTGTGGGGATTTATTAGAAATACAAAACATCCTGACAGTTTCATTCAGCTCAGAATGATTTTCACAGAATCTGCTAAGAAAAAGGTTTGTTTGTGGTGAGATTCATATGTAAAATAAAATGGTTTTAAACGTATACGAAAAATATGGAAAAACAGAATTGGAAAGAGACTACCAGGAAACGGCTGACTTACACACAAACGAAAATGAAACCTGTAATATTAGAGATGAACATCTAACAGGAGGATGAGCAGAGGATTCTGTTCTATTAGCAAAGTCATTACGAGATCAACCAGAGAGCCACTAAACTATTGGCGAGACGGACACGTAGATCCATAAAACGAGGGACCTCATTTTATGGATCTGACTATTGGACAGAAGCAATAATAACGGTCACACCTAAACCGGGGAAAGGTGGGGAATTATCGGCCAACATCGTTACTCAATCTGGATTACAAGTTACAGTTCGGTCCATAAATATCTGGACATTGACGCATGTCATTATTTTGGTTCTGTACACAACAATGGAGTTGAAATGAAAAAATCCAGATGTGCTTTAAGTGCAGCGGAGTAGAACACAAGGTCGGACTCTTCACAGATGACGTCATTGCATTCCTTGAACGGCCCCAATTGCTGGACCTCTTGAACACATATGGGCAGCTATCAGGACACAAGATAAATAATACGATCAATTATTCACCACCAAAGGAGATCAGGGAAGAATACCATTTAAATTGGAATCTAAAGAAAATGAATTATTTAGGAATAGACGTGACTAGAAGCTTATCGGGACGATTTGGGGCAAACTATGACAGGATTAACCGAGAATAATCCAAAGATAGATCTAGAGATAGATGTACATAGATATACCACCCAAACATTGGATTTTAGCTCAAGGACTGAATAAGAATGAATGTATTACCCAGACTTTTATATTTGTTCCCAGCATTACCAATAAAGATACTCAAACACAATTGATATCATGGGACAGATTCCTATGGGGGGGTTCAGAACGCTCCGGCTAAAGAGGGGGGGCCTGAGTCTGCCCAACGTGGAAGCCCAGCTGAGATATGTACCTCGTTGGTGTAAACTGGTCTATGAAGCAAAAGGGAAAGAAACGGAACAATCCTTTGGAATGTGACCGGTACAGATTATTATAGACAGAAACATTCACAAAATGAACCCTGGAATTATGGTTCAAATGAATGTTTCTTGTTCTTGTGAGTTTGTACCCTATGGTTGAATGCACTTATTGTAAGTCAGATAAATGACATGTGATGTGATACTTAAACATAATGAGGCGGAGAAAGACAAGTGTATTGAAATGGGGGCTTTTGATAGCGGTTTAAAACCAGCCGGGCGCGGAGGGGGATTCGGACAGCGGGCGGGTCAGAGCCTTACGTCCTCGCTGCTGGAAGAGATGAGGAGGAGTTAAGACTTGAAAACAACTTATGGGCTGAATTGGCGGGAATTTTACAAATATCTACAGATACGAGATTATTATGTGAAACGGAACAAGTGAACAAGGTGGTACAAGTAATGATGGATGCATATAAAGGGAAACGGGTCAGGACTAGAACTACTACATTGATGGATGGCAGAAGCACAACGCGGTATATACGAGAGAGAATTTGAGATGGAAATATCTGAAGATGAACGAGACAAGAAGAGAAAAACAAGACAACCTGTTTTTCCTGGAAAAATCTGGTGCAGTTCTTTATCACACCTAAAATATCCCATAACTACTCTGAGACCAGGAAGTGGTGTTGGAGGACCTGTGGGTCACCTGAGGCCACCATGAGCACACACTCAGGGATGGTCAGAACACGACAGGCTTTGGGGAATCGTCCGTAGGTGAACGCAGGACATTCTTATGAATCACGAGCTGATGTGTGTGAATGTAGAGACGGATGTGCGTCTCTATTCAGGATACTCGTGGCTGCAGGCAAAAAGGCCATTACAAGGAAATGGGGGACGAAGATCTACCCACTGGGACCCGTTGGGTGGACACACAGATGACGGAGACACTGACACACAGGGGACGGCTGACAGGACCACAGACGGAGGAAGTGGACTCGATGGCAGTGGACACAGAATTGACATGACAGCAAGTTTTGTTGTTATTCTTTTATTTCTGGTTGCCGATGTTGTTGATGACTTGTATTGTGTTATTGTTGAACAAAAAGAAAATGGTAAAAAAAAAGAAAATGTTTTTAATGATAATATGAATTGTTGTCATAAGTTCGAGGACCGTCCAAAGTCTTCTGGCCGAGATGGAGGGTGTAGTTTGGTGTGATTGTGTAAAGAAAAGACGTTGTGTTAAAGGACGTTGAAGCTACTTGACCTTTGAACTTTGGTAGCCCGCATGGGGAGACCCACGTTGGACCACTGTCTCCTGAGGCTGAGGGGTGGAGCCGCTCTACTGCCCTACGACAGATGGGCTGTGTGTGTGTGTCTCACCTTTCAGGGCAGGTAACTTCTGCAGCTCCCGGTTCTTGGTGAGGCTGAAGCGAGAGGAGCTCTGCCGGCGCTCCTTCTTCACCAGCTGACGGCCTCCAGAGTATTTGATCTTGTTGAGCTGAGTGGGGGGAGGCGTGCTGTTACTGGGACGCTTTCTCCCTCTCTGCTGCTGGGAGTGAAACACACACACACACACAGACCCACACATACACACACACACACACATACTCTCACTCACACACACACACACACACACACCCAGGAGAACAGTTAGTCTTTGCCCCAGTGATGCATTCTGGGAGCTGCACCCCTTCCCCATTAAACCAGATTCAACTTTGTTGGGGGGGGGGGGGGGGGTCTCTCTGACCACATAAGCACTTGTAAAGTTTCTTTCTAGTGTCTCAACCAATCAACATGTCAGTCAGACCCTTGTGGGAGGAGCTACCACGGGAGAAGATCACGTGATCCGATCCATGATCATGTAATGTGATCTGCTGTCATGACCGTGAACAGCAGCGTCATGTGTACCATGTGCCACGTAACGTGTGTTTTAGAACACTCACCTCCTCGGAGCTCTCGGCTGCAGCCTCTTTGCTCCCCCCACCACTGGTGCTGCTCCTCATGCTGATTTTAGCACTTTTAGCTGTTTCCTGTTCAGGCAACAATTACACGCTTATACAGATGGAAGTATATGGTTCTAAACTTTAGACATTTCTAGCTTTACTCAGAGATTGTTGTACATTTACATTGATCGTTATCAAGTAATCAACTAAAACACAAGAAAGAAAGAAATTAAAAAAAAAATATATATATATATATATATATATATATATATATAACATAGATTCTAAGAATTGATTAAAATCAGCTTCACATTTAACAGGTGCAATATCACTGCATCAATAATACAATTACTTATTTATATATAATGAGTACTTCATCACTGTAGCAATAATACAATTACATACAGAGTACCATGATCCTTTAGTGCTTTGAAAGTAGGACTTTTCGCTGTGACAGTATTTGTACACTGAAGTTACACGAAGTGAATCCACACTGGAGCGGACACCCCGCGGGGTCTCCGGTCACGTGACCAGATAAAAACAGCAATAAAAAGCTAGCGGCTGGCCGCTCTCAGCTGGTTAGCATCACATATGCTGTATGAATGAGTCACACTTGGCTATCGGGACTAACGTTAAAGGAACCTCTAAACACGCTGGCTGGGATTAGTTAGCTTTGGTGCTACGTGACATTTAACACCTTTCCGCTTTAACATCGGGACCCAGTCGCAAATGTGCCCTTTTAGCTGCATACAGAGTTACTCTGCACTAGCGGTTAGCTGATCCGTCGGCTGCTATCTCGGCCCTGGAAGGTTAGCTTGCTGTGGCAGCTAGCCGCTAACGCTATCCGATCAAATATTGTGTCGTCTCAAAGGGAGAGATGAAGTGGCCTGCTCACCTTCTCCTTTGGAGTTTTGTTCGGCATCGTGTCTCTGTCGTTTTCCGCGGAGGCTCCGTGGTGCTCTGCCCCGGGAAAAAGACACTGTCACCGGTCTGTCTCAGCTCCCTACGCCCGCTGGCGGACTCAGCAATCCGATTGGCTGCCGACGCGGACATCCTGCCTAGCAACGCGGAGATATATTTATGCAATTGGCTGAATGTTGAGAACGAAGGTCCTTCCCAGCAACATCACACCTTGAACCACAACTGGACGTTAAATACGTTGATTGATTGAGAGATTGATTATATCTATAATTTAAATCATATATATATATATATATATAATATAAATCATATATATATATACATACACAAATAAATAAATTGTCAATTTAAAGTTGTAGTTAGCAACATTACCAATGTTATATATAATAAAGTAATTGAACTAGGCTGTCAAATTAATTTAGTATATAAAGGTGTATATGCATCGGAGGTAAAGTACTACTTGTACATCTGCGATGTGGTGGAAAAGTAGGCAGTATAAGTACCTTGAGTATAACTAAAGTACATTATTGGAATACTTGTACCACTGTGGTATAATCAGGACACACAGCTGCTGTTTCTCCACTAACTTTTATTGAATCTTTACACAAAGCAATAGACTCATCTCACAACTGACCAGATCAGTGCATCAAACCCAAACCTGCTGCATTGCTACAGGAATCAGATCATAGATCTTCAGCCAACATGAGAACCAACAACTGAGCTGCTTTTGGTCAGACTGGTTTTAAAAGAGGAGCAATTAACAGTGTAGAAAAACAGGGATTCAGGGGTACTGTACCTGCAGGAGGAGACATGGAGAGATGGAGACATGCGGATGAGGAGACATGCGGACAAGGAGGCACAGGGACAAGGAGACACGTTCACATTTGATCCACTCAGTTTGGTCCAAACCCCCCAACGTTGGCAACAGAACATGTGGTTTCACTTTTAAATGAGCTCCGGGGTATTTTTTCCGTGTGTCACAAACTAAAAATATCAAAGTTATCTACAAGAAAGATTAGCGGAACATCTGAAAAAATAAACCTGACTGCTCATTTTTCAGCCTTCTCGCCCCGTTACTGGTCTTCCAGCTCTGAAACGTTCTCAGCCAGAACCACGTTAAGAACCGTGAAGTCTTGAGCAAACACTCATGGGATCTGTTGGGGTTGTTCGGCGACCTCTTATTTTTTAGAAGGCTTCCTAAAAAAGGTCAAACCAGCTCAAACCGATAATGCGAATCTTTAAAAGCCAAGTCTGTCAGAATCTTTCTCGTCTTAAAGTCCAGTCCATTCCTGACCAGACACTTCCGGGCTTCAAGGTCCCCCGCTACTCAAAGTTAAAATCGTAGTCAAAGTTCAGGGAGGTCATGTCAGCGGGGAGGCCCAGGGTCTCACTGGTGATCTCCATCAGAGGAGTGTCTTCCCCGCTAGGCGTGCCCTCCTCTAGCAGCAACCCGGCGCCCGGATCCGTGGAGTCCGGACCGTTTGGCTCCAAATGCACCGAGTCAGAATCTCCCAGAGCCGGCTCAGGCTCAGACTGGCTCTGCTGGCGGGTCTGGTATCTGGTTTGAGATCGAGTTTGCCGGACGGGGCAGGGGGCAGGGGGGGTCCTCTTTGTTGGAGTTGCCTTGCCTCTAGTTCTGGGGCTTGGCTTGGGAGCGTGTTCCGGAGCGGTGTCAGGACAGGTCTCTAGATGAAGTGGGGACTGGGTGTTCTGGTCTGGTTGGGTGTCTGTGGGGATTTGAGGGCACTGCGTTTGAGGTGTTGGTTCCATCTCAGCAGGCTTGGTTTGGGACTGAGAAGTAGGAGTGGAGATCTGGTTCTGTGGTCCACTCTGATCCTTGGACTGGACAGGTGGGCCCAGTCCTGGCTGGGTTTCAGTCCGCGGATCCGGGGGAGGCTGCAAAGACCAAACAGATTCAATTTGAATAACCGGCTCCTGCTGGGTTTGGGGACTCTGTGAGCCTGGTGGTGGAGTTCTGCGGACCTCAGATGGAGGTTGGGCCGGAGTTAGAAGCGCAGGTTGAGGTTTTGGTGGTTGCGTGGCAGGAAAGCAACTTTTATTGGTGCTGCTCGCGGCGGCGCTGGCGTCCGCGGCTGGTTTGGTGATGGAGGAGGCTGCCGATTGGTCCACCTTGCTGTAGAAGATGTTGAATAAGTCCTGAGCTTTAGCTGCAGCCAGGTTGCTCCTCAGCTTCTCAGGCTTCTGAGGGCCGTCGCCCATGTTCATGAAAGGTGGAGGCTTGACAAACACCATGCGAGTCTGTTCGCCCTCTGGGACACCGGGAGCCGCCACGTCCGACACAATCTCCATCATTGACGGTGGTGCTGGTTTAGCCACAGGTGTAGTTTCAGGTAGTGCAAACTTTGTCTCGATTGGTGCAGGTTTAGAAACTGGTGGTGCAGGGTTACAAACCGGAGGTGGAGGTTTAGGTGGTGCTGGTTTACAAACTGCTGGTGCAGGTCTAGCCTCCGATGGTGCAGGTCTCGACGCCGGAGGTGGGGGTGTTGCCTCGGAGATCCCCGGTGGACCAGCAAGTGGCCGAGGTTTATTTTCCAGCAGTGCACTCCGGGCATTGAGAGCCCTTATGAGACCATCGCTGAATGAGGGCGGTCCTGGCAATCCGGCGTTCTGGATGGAGAGGAAGGTATTTAACGGGGCCGGTTTTCCCGCCAGGTTGGTCTTCCTCAGGACAGCGGCGGGCGCAGGGAGGTTAGGCCGGATCCGCCCCCGGTTGTACACCCAAGGGGGCGTGGTGGTGTGGCCGCCCAGCTTATCGGCTATCTCCTTGGCAACAGCCATGGATCGAGCGAAAGAATCCTCCGCTGACACCGGGTTGCGCCCAGCGGCCGCTTCGTCCTCTTTGATGAACTCTGCAGCGACCTTCTCCGCCTCCTTCGCCAGAACGCTCTCCTTCCTTTTCCACGTGAACTTCCCGAATGAAGGCGCGGCGGCCGGAGGCGGTCTGCCAGTTTCCAGGCTTTGCTTGCGGAGCTTGGCCCTCATGGCCGGGCTGGGCCCGCAGAGGACTTTGGGGGGATCGAGGGGCTTCGGGGGGGCTTCGGGCTTCGCTGGCTCCAGGTTCTTTGACGCCTCCTTTAGTTTCTCTTCATTGCGGTTTGGACCTGAAGTCTGAATGGGGAGCGTGTTTGGGCCGGCTGTCGTACCGGTCTTTCTCCTCCCTGCGGTACCGACGCTGACCTTCCTCCTCTCTGTGTTTGCACCTGTCCAGGTCCTCCTTCCTGCTGTGCTTACCTCGCTCCTCCTCCTCCTCTTCCTCCCCCTCCTCCTCTCTGCTGGAGCGATGCCTCTCCTCCTTCCTACTGCCTTTGAACTTCTCCTCGGGCAAAGGCCTCACCACCTCCAGGCTTTTGGCCTTCTGCAACTCCTCCGCTCTCTTGCAGGGCTTCGCCTCCTCTTCCTCCTTTTTAATCTTCTCCTCCTGAGCCACATTGGGCTCCTCGTCCTTCTTCTTCTCCCTCTTCTCCTTCTTGTGTTTGGACTTCTCGTCCCTGTTGCGCTTGTCCTCATCCTCGTGTTTTCGTTTCTTCCCGCTGGTCTCGGAGCCCAGTCCGGCCTGCCGGTCCAGGTTCCTCCTCTGCTCGTACAAAGGGTTCTCGTACATCTGCTTCTGTGGGTGAGACGAGAGGGAGCAAAAACCCTTCTGACCAGAACATGGCATGATCCCTTATTAGGGCGGACTAACAGATACTGAAAACATTGGACTCGGATCTCTGAGAGACATTATTTTGTCCCTCACACTAGTTGTGGTCAGTAGGACACGTAATTAGAGCCTGAGCCGACTGAATTATTATTATTCCCTAAGGAATTTTGCCTTTTGGGGGCCTTTATCGTATTCAAAATGTTGTTAAATTTGGCATGCAGATCAGGACTGGAGAAAATTTTTGATTTTAGGGTATGAAAAAATGTCTACAGCGCCGACTAGAAAAGTCCCACACAAGGCCAGTTTTTTCCCCTGATGCCCGATTAAGTTGAAATTTGGCACACAGGTGCTCTACAAAAAGGTAAATTATGGTGCAAATGCACCAAACTAGATTTTCCACCATTTTCAATAGTGTTTATTTATTATTAGGTTTTTACCACTTCTCATTTGGGTGGAATAATCCCTGTGCGGAAGAAGGGATTAAATTGGTGATTAAAAGTGATTAAAAACGTTGCGTCAGGGTGTTGCCATGACAACCTGTTATTCAGTCAAAACAAAGGCGCTTCTGAGGGACTAAATATGCTCCAATCTTTACTAAACTTGGAAAACACATTTACAGTTAAAGATGGAGTTTCTTCATATGCCTCCAAATAGCCTTTTGGCTCAATAGCGCCCCCTGCACATGTTCATTTTAGGAGCCCATTTAACTGCTTTGAGAGTTCTCCCCAGAGGAGCAGCATATTACAGGTCCTTTAGAGAAGCAAACTTCTGTGTGATCGGACTGTATGAAGTACATCTTAAGTTATTCAGTCCCAGTACAGAAATATCTGTGGTCTATATCAAGGTTAGCGTGTGGATGTCCTGGCTTTTTTTTCTTCTTCAAACAATTTTGATTTTCAATTTTATTCTGACCGCGTGTCCATCAGTCAGGCAACCCCCCCGACACGCAACGGGGGGCGAAGGCCCGTTGGTCGCTGCTCGCAGCTTTAATCATCATTATTCCAGGAATCAAAAGGCGGAACCAGAGACGGACCAAACTAGTTGGGACGAAACCGCATCTGGCTCTAAACGAGCCATGTTGCACACGTGGGACACCGTCGCCCCCTTTCACTCATTAAGGAGAACTGGCATCAATGAGATGAAGTGGCGCAGGAGGGGCGGAGCCTACACACCTTGTACTTGTCGTTGTGAGCGTGGGTAGTGACATGCTCCTCTGCACAGATGGCGTCTCCATAGAACTGTTTGCAGAGCAGGCAGAAGAACCCTCTAACGGGCTGCAGGAACTCAGAACCTGTAACGGGAGACACAAGGCCCAGTTCAGACACAAGCAAGTGTTTCCCGATTCACAGTCCTGTCAGAGAGCTGACACGTGGTTGGGGGACAGGTGGAGAGCAGCGGAGTTCCCAGAATGTTGAGCTTACGAGACACTGATAGAAATCACAGATGCTCCTCTGTTCCTTCGCCAGAGGCTTTATTGGCCAACACTGATTTCATTAAGAGACACACAATCTGCAGCAGAGGTCCACCGGGAAGCAGAAGACAGCGAACAACATGCGGTGTGGCCAGAGGTGGATCTGCCTACCTTTAGCGGGTTTAGTCAGCTTCTCCTCAGACTTCAGGTTCTTGATGATCTTGGTAGGGGTGGAGGCCCAGGGTCTATCGTACGGGTCGAGAGTCTGAAGAACCAAGGAAGGAAGAGAAGTTGTGGTACAGCTAAAGGTAAAACCTGACCATCAGAGGTTCTTTGGTTCAGTAACTGATGGATCAGCTCAGGTGTGACGAGGACAAAGACGTCCGCTGAGGATCAGAACAAACCTTTCGGTGCGTTTTGCTGTGCAAGTGGGTGAAATAGTCAAACATGGATCCAGAGGTGACGTTACAGCTTTTGCACCAGTGGTTTCCAGCATCATAGTACTCAAAGGGCTCCGGGGGCGGGGGGGCGTCGCCGGACAGCTCGTCTGGAGACACTCCTGACGCCGGTGCCGAGGTCTGCCGAGAAACAAAGATGGCGGGTTACGGTCAGGGTTATGGGGACTAGAGGACCCAGGTCAAACGGTCTTTGGACGTGGAAGGTTCTGGGGGAGGGGGGATTCATCGCTGCTCTGACTGCTGCGAGGACAAAGACGGGAGACTGACTCACTGAGGACACATTTTCACGCTAGTGGCTGTTGACTGGAGGTGTAAAGTCGCCGGGTTGGAAACACTGAGTTTGAGAGAAATGAAGACGCCATAGAGATCTGAACGCTGATCGGCCAAAACTAGTCACATCAAGGATCTTTCATCATGACATCATGACGTCACCTTTTCTCCTCCTCTCGCTGCAATCTCAGAAACGCTGCCACCCCCAAATAAAAACTCTTCGGATCTATACGATTCACCTATTGGATATCAAAACAGAACATTTTGCCAAAAGTTCGCAGGTATGTGTGTGATGTACATCTTTGTACCAATATCCACTGAACAAACAGGATACAACCGTGTGGGCCTGTCTTACAACCAGTGTACTTTTAGCGGTAACAAGCATGTAACAAAGTATTTTTTTAAATAAATTAACGCAGTTACAATTACTGAAATGAGTCCGTTACTCACTTTACTCTCTTTTGTGACGCGAAGCAGAGGGCCGGCAAATAGTAAGTAAACAGCTGCCTGTCAGCACTAAATAGTTGTGCGTCACAGAATAGTCGCGTACGTGTAAACAGCGTCGCGTCGCTCATGAGGAAAGAGGGCAGGATGCTGCAGGCGGCGCCACACAAACAACCAGCGCTCCACTTCACACGCTGAACAGATCGCTCGCTGTGTTGGAGATGAGATGCATCCTGTCAGCTGTCCAGTCAGTTGCCTCAAACTGTTATTTTGTATTAAGTATTAAAAAGGACTTTTGTACTATTGCTTGATTTGAAGGCCTGTTGATTACAATAAATAGGTCTAAAAAATATGTTTATTGTGTTTGACTGTTCAGTGCTATTTATATTCATTACATTTAAAAAGCAAACATAAACGTAACTTAAGTAACTTTCCAGAGTAACTTTTGATACACAGTAACTGGTAAGTAATTCAATTACCTTTAAAAGAAGTAACTAGTAACTGTAACTAAATACTCATTTTCAGTAACTTGCCCAACAACACGCGCACGGCAGCTTCACCCTGATAGAGACACACACACACACACACACACAACCCCCCCCCCACGAAGGCAAATCAATGCCAGAATCAGAGTGCGAATCCGGTCCACGCGCACGTAGAACATTCGCATGTAAAAGCTGTGTGCTCGCTCGCTACGTTGAATTGGTTACAGCCCCCGTCCTCGGACTGGGTGGTCTTATGCAGTTACAGAACTATAGAAGCCCACCATGGTTTTACCAATACGGAGTCTCACATTAAGAGAAACTCATCCAGCTCGCAGACCGGTCGTACTGGTAAAATATGGTTCCACTGATGAACTATTGAGCCAAAACGTTCTGAATATCTTCCTGAACTATGAAAGCCTGCCGAGGGCTGTCACACTATCACATTTTTGTTGTGCGAACATTTTATGCCACTGATAACATAATGACAATATAATAGAGTAATACGCTCTTTCAAAGAACAAACGTTTTATTCGTCAGAATAAAAGAGCGGGTCGGGTTCGAGAAAATGTGCCTAGTCCATCGGGACTAGTTTATCCTAATTGTAAAAATAACACTTCAGTTCTGCTCCGCTTGTGCGCACGTGGAGGCGCTGCCTAAGCCCCGCCCCCGGCAATGAAAGCTGTACCTTTGTGGTGGAGCTGCTGGCGGCTCGCTGGCCCTCAGGACTCCTCTGCGCCTCACATTTCTTCTTCTCTGGTGGCGGCGGCTCCACCGGCAGCTTGGCGGTCCTGCGTGGCCTGTCGGACGGGATCAGGCCGAGGATAAGCGCAATCTTCTCAATCTCGTTGCGGTTCTTCTCGGCGGCCTCGTGCTCTTTGCGCAGGTTAGAGATCTGAGCCATGACCTCCTCCTGCAGGTGGCTGATCTCCTGCAGCAAGGGGTCCTTGTGGCCCCCCTTCTCCCGCCGCTTCTTCCTCAGGAGCTCTCCTGAAACACACAGCGACGCCCTCCTCTCCATCAGCCGCCTCCGGAGGACCGCGGTGGCGAAGCGGCGCACTGAACTCACCTTGCTGCTTCCGGAGCCTCTCCAGCTCCTTCATCAGGTACTCCTTCTTCTTCATGCGGACGTCTCGCTCCTGCTTCAGCTTCTCCCTCTCCTCCAGGACCTGAACACACACAAAGACGGTCAGTCGGGTTCGCCTCCCAGCCAGCCGCGCTCACACCCCCCCGAGCGGAGGCGCCACCTTTTGTTTCTGGCTCTCGTTGTTCTGCTCCTCTGACACTCTGCTGACGTTCCCCTTCTCGGGCTCAGAAGTCTTCATGGGACCTGAGGACAGACATGACGTCAACTTCCCGTCTCCTGCTCTTCCTCTCAAACACACTACCAGGTAACCGGAGCAGCTCTCCTACCTGACCCAGCTTTGGCCCCCGGCTCCGGGGCCAGTATGCCGTAGGGTTGTTTGTAGGGAGGAGCGGGGGGGAACTCGTCCAGGCCGACTTGAGGGGGCACTGCCATGGTCGGGGGGGGGTACATGGGCGGCCACTGCTGGTGCATGTAGGGAAGGTAGTTTCCGTACTGGCTGTAGCCGGGCGGGGGGAAGTTGGGGGGCATGAGGCCGTGGACCTGTGAGGGGGGGTAGGGAGGGATGGATACCCCAGGGAGGATGTTGTGGTCGGGGGTTGGTGGCGGCGGCAGGGCGGCGCTCTGTCCGGATGTTGACTGTTTGCAGTCTTGGTGAGATTTATGCGGCGCGGAGCTTTTTCTGCTGCTCCAGCTGCCCCCCCGCCCGCAGCTGCGGCTGCGACTACGGCTGCTGCCGCTGGTGGAGCTGCTGCTGTGGCTCCGCCTCCCGCAGCCCCGGCTGCCATCCGAGCTGGCGGAGGAGTACCGCCTGCTGCGAGTGGGAGTCTTGGGAGCCGGCTTGTTTCCATGGAGACGCTCTTTGGTTCGTGCGGCCATCTTGCTGATCTCAGTCACGCCCAGGTCCAGACCGATGGTCTTCAGTAGGTCTTGGATCTTCTCATACTCCTCCAGCGCCTGGCGCTCGCCCTCCTCCATCGGCTCCATCCCCGGCAGCGAGGAGTTCAGCACCTGGACCGTGGTGTTCTGGTCAGGGATGATAGCGGGGCGGCTCGCGTACCTCACCTCCACCTCTGTAGGCGGAGCCTGAAGGTGAGACGACGCTGCCGGCAGGAGGCCGTAGTTCTGGGCAAGGACGTGTTTCTGTGGGTCTCCGTACAGAGCCTCCTCCGTCACCTCTCCGTACAAGTCCAGCCCGTGGTGTCGGACGGGCTCGGGCACCAGCAGAGGTTTGGGTTCCTCCGAGTCTCCGTACAGGAACTTCTCCTCATCGTCGATGTCATCTACCTTCTCCTGAGCCTTGCCCTCCGCTGACCCCAGAAGGTGTAGGATCTCTTTGATCTCTGCATCAAGGCCGGCGCGGTGAGCCATCTGAGGGTCAGACCGCAGCTCTGACAGCATGGAGGCCACCATGTGAGGCTCCATGCCTTTTACAGCCAGCAGCAGCTGGTCGGCCACCCGGGAGATGTTGGAGCCCTCCGGACCTCTGGGGGAATCGTTGTTCTGGAAGAGACAGACGGAGCAGAGTCACACCTCTGGACCACAGAATGTTTTATTGACGGAGAGAACATGCAGAGCATCATTACACACCAATCAGTTCAGAGGGGTGCTTGTACTGGGGGGGTTCGACACATATTACCTTGAGTGAGGGTGAGTCCTCGGAGTCAGTGCGTTTCTTCAGGATGGATTTCGTGGGCAGAGTCAGCATCTCCTCCAGCTCCTTCCTGCGTCGGGCGGTCTCCAGCTCTTTGAACTCTTTCCCTGTCTTCACGTCTTTGTTGTCTCCGCTGCTCGAGCTGCTGCTGCTGCTGCTGCTCGCACTGAGACTCCTCTGTCGGCTCTTACTGCGCCCCTGGCTTCGCCCCCTGGACCTAGAGCGAGGGCGGCTCCTGCTCCGGCCCGGACTACGGCTTTTGCTGCGGCCCCGGCTCTTATCCCGGCTGCGATCCGGACTGCGGCCCCGGCTCTTATCCCGGCTGCGATCCGGACTGCGGCCCCGGCTCTTATCCCGGCTGCGATCCGGACTGCGGCCCCGGCTCTTGCTCCGTCCCTGACTCTTGGCCCGGCTCCGATCCGGGCTCCGGCCCCTGCTCCGCTCGTACTCAGGTTGAGGAGGGTATTCTCTGTACCGAAACACACGATTGAACCGAGGAGGTCTTTAGATTTACTCTGTCACGCTGTCGATGAACAGCGTTAAAACTCATTGTGTCCTTGATCAAAACAAACGTGTCATAACAGTTAACGGGTCTTCACATCTCCGTCAATCAGTGGTCTCATGAGCCGATAACACGAGTACCTGTCATGATGGCGTGAAGCGGCGGAGCCAGAAGGTCCAGTCAGCTCATTGCCAACGGTGATGACCAAGTTGTGGTCAATGGGACCCGGCCCTCGAGGAGATGGAGACCTCTGCAACGTAAAATGATAAAACACACGTTGTGTTTTTGCTTCCTCACATAGAAAATGATGTAATTGATGAAGCATTGAAGCACATTTCCTATGCTAAAGGAGCTACTACATTACTTCATTGTGACGTACACTTCTACATTAGCGGAACTAAAAAAGTTCTCTTCAGGACCATGTAACTCATTCACACAGAACTCCATTCATACATTAAGGACATGACACGTGGAGAAACAACGTCACTTGAACACTCGAATATGACGTTCTATTAAGTTACATCCATAACCCTTAAACACTGACTTTAGGCTCACTAGCTAGCGTAAGCTAGTGTTAGCTAACACTAGCTAGTGAACACGGCGTGTTTCGGAAACAAAAACTTATAACGGAGATGTGATGAATCACAACAAAGTAGTTTGAATAGAAGAAGCATTCGCGGCTGACGGTTAGAAGGTTAACAGCAGGTGTATGAATGGGGTCCGGTGCGGAGATGCTAACAACAAACAAGCTAACGTTAGCACGGAGCTCACCTCTCTGGGCGGACGTCCGGCCCAGTACTCCCCGCCTCGGTGGCCTAACCCGGGGGAAGGGTATCTCCTGCGCGGCGGGGAGCGGTGGTACGAGTCCGAGTGTCCTTGTTCGTGAAAGCCGGGGTGGAAGGGAGGTCTGGGCCGGTTCCGGTCGTCTCTGTAGGCCGGTACTGGGTAGGGCCTCGGAGGCGGCAGACCGCGGCCTTCCAACGGCTGCCCGTAGCCTCCTTTCGGGGGAGGCCGACCCCGGTACATCTCCTCCCGTACAAGATCCCCGGTCCTCTGGCGGGTATTTACAATAACAGGCAAAGACTGAGCTAATTATAAAGTTAATGTGTTAATAATAAACACAGTCTCAGCGCATCGATCGTTCTCTACGGACACAAACCTCCCGGTTCTTCTTCTATGGACACAAACCTCTCGGTTCTTCTTCTACGGACAGACATGGACACGCGCTGCTGTCCCCTTCCGAAAGACCACGGAACTGAACACATTCATCCCCGCAGCTCCCAGGCGCACTGCACGGTTTTCATCTGTTTACTTTGATCTACGTGAGCTTTAAAGAGTTCTTAAATCTGACATACCGAGGGGTCACGTGGGGCCTTATGCATGACCTTAATGTTAGAAACACGATACATGAAACACAGTGGCGGCTGGTCCGTTGAGGGCGGGAAAAAATGAAAATATTGTTTATATTAAAAATACATTTGTTAATATTTGTGTTTTTGAAACATGGATTATATACCCGGTAATATTTGTAAATTAAGATATCTGCGCAAAATCTATGCTTTTATGTATATGTATATGCACGTCCTCCTCTCTGCTTGTCTGCATGTCTCAGTTGTTTCGGGTCGGGTCCCAAAGGCGGAGGGTCTAAGAAGCAGTTAGCCAATCACCGATCAAGTTAATGATTGACATTATAATTTCAGCACGCTAAAATACATTGAGATTTGGGGCCAGGCCTTCGCCGCCCTCCTGCGCTCTCGTCAGGGCGTCAGTCTTGCGACCGCCCATTTAGCGACATGACAACGGCGAGCAGTGTCCCTCCAACAGACCAAAGGTGCCTCGCTGGCGGAGCCGTTTGACAGAAGAACTTAACTAGCGGTGAAACAGCTGGACTCAGATCAGCCGGACCTCACGATCCGAGACGGACCGGCGTGAAAGTGAAGCACACGGCGCTTCTGTAGAGATTCTACACCGGGAGGTTTAGCTAGCTAGTTAGCTACATGCTAACGCCGCATATTCATTTTTCACTCGTCACTTTGTGACTTGTTCACTAGTGCACTTTATTTTTAAATATTTTTTAACTTTAATATTTTTAATTTGTAACTTTATTCTCTTATTTTATACTAACCCATAGCCTTATTCTACTAATCCATAGCATTAGCATTTTATTTTATTTTATTACTTGTGCACTGCGGTCTTGTTGTCTATTGTTACACTGTCTGCTGTCACGCACCAACCACCAAATCAAATTCCTTGTATGTTTGACATATTTTGGCAATAAATGATTCCTGATATTCGCGCCCGCGAGCATGACGTCACCGTGTTACAGTTCACATCACTACCCAGCTGTGACGCACACAGGACTGCGGTAAGGACACACAACCACATTATATCCCAAAAAGTTAATTGTGTGAAATTTTGTGGGGCTTTTGAGTTTGTTTCCCCAACAAACTAGGTTCGTAGGTGCATCACAATTTATACATGTTCTAATATATTTTATATAAATATCTATATGTAATACCTTTATCCTTTAATATCATATTTAGTATGATATTTATATTTGGATATTTATGGTAGTTATCGTATTCTGAATATTGATTTTTTTATTTATATATTCATTGATATACTGAATACTTGTTTGAATAAGATGTCCTTATATTACAGTTGGAATAAATATTTAACTGCAAAGTAATAATGCGTGTTTGATACACTTTTTTGCATTGAATCATACTGGGATGTTTACCCAGTAGCCCGTAAGGCCGCCGCGTGTTTCTGCGTCTGTACGCGTCTTCACTTACTGGTTTCACTTCCTGGTTGTAAAGTCGTGCGTGTGTTGCAGAGCGATTCACCTCCAGAACAACAGGTGGAGTCACGTGTTCTGTTGAAGACGACCTGGAGAGTCACGTCTTTGTGTGTGGAAGTCGCTGGTTGCTTTATTTATTTATCACAGACCTTATTGCCCCGTGCATCCACACTGCTGCTTTTCATCAAGGACACATTTGTCCCGTATTTTCCTCCACGACTTTGTTCCCTCGTTTGTGGAGATCTCCCTCCATGAATCAGAGGCCATCCGGCGTCCTCATAGTCCGCCAATGACGGCTTGTACAGGCGCTCATATTTACACATTTCTTCCCACAAAAGCTCTTCAATCTGATCCGTTCTCTCGTAAACGTTCTTCCTTTTAATAACGGCCGTATTGTGCTGTGAAAACGGAGACGTGAGACTCCGTAAAGGACGTAGTCAGCAGACCAATCACAGCCTGGTGCTGCAGGAGGCTGCGTCGCTTTAGACGCTAGTCTAGAAAAATGGGTCGACGCACGCAAGGAGGTGTGAAAAGACACGCAAGGGACACACGAGGGGGTCTGCGTGTCTGTGTGTCCTTGCGTCGCAGAAGCATAAACTAGGCTTTAGATGAGCTGCTGTAGGCAAAGAGCGCTGGAGGACAGACTGAGCTCCTTTCTCCTCTCGCTTTCTTTAATAATTCATGTCACATTAATGCACATCACTAATTCAGCTTCTTCCCCAGAGTTGTTGTGCTTTCTCATCTTGCGGGTTTCTGATGATCATGGATACATTTGTCTGAAGTGGAGAAAGTAGGTCTCTTACGCAGGACCATCAGCACCGGTTCCCCCCGAGGCTGCGTTCTCTCCCCTCTGCTCTTCTCCCTGTACACCAACAGCTGCTCCTCCAGCCACCAGTCCGTCAAGCTCCTGAGGTCTGTGGATGACACCACCCTCATTGGACTGATCTCTGGTGGGGACGAGTCCGCCCACAGTCCGACCAACTGGGGGTCGTTGTGGCGCAGGGGGTAGAGCGGGTGTGCTGGGAACCGCAAGGTTGGTGGTTCGAGTCTCGACTGTCTCATGTCCCTGAGCAAGACACCTAACCCCTAATTGCTCCCTGGGCAAAATGTGAAAAGCCACGGGTTTAAAGTGTAATGTAAGTCGCTTTGGATAAAAGCGTCAGCTAAATGACCTGTAATGTAATGTAACTGGTGCGGATAAAGACAGTGGAGATGCGAGTGGACTTGCGGATGAATACAGCTCCACCTGTGGATGGTGTTGGCTTGCTACCCGCAATATTTGAATCATTCTTGTCGTAGTAAATGAAATGATTGTACATTTGTTACGTTTTTCATTCTATACAGAATGTAAAGCTATGAAGACAAATCAATGTTTCAGTTTAGTTTATTTAATTTAATAATTTAATATTTCTATCTTATGATATGTATATAATGTGTATCTTTTTATTCTATTTTCTTCCCTGTACATGCTGCTGTGATACCAAAATTTCCCTCGAGAGATCAATAAAGTATCAATCTATCAATGTCAAAATCTGAGAGAAAATAAGCAACATTCTTGTAAAACATAAAATCCTTATTTAAAAAAAAGTTAAATCCATAATGACAGTTATTGTTTATTAAAACAACAATCTTTAATGTGTAATAATGACCAGCTGATGGAGCGCAGTTATTATTATTTATATTATATATTATGTTTATTTAATTTATATATATTTATAAATATGTACTAGGAATAAGTGAAGAATGCTCTGAGAATGTTAGAGCTTAAACAGTCACCTCAGTCTTTCATTCCTACAGTGAAAACGTGTGGTTTTAAGAAGCTATATATATATTATCTTTCCTCAAAGATAACAGGAGATACAACAGCAGCTTAGTCAATATTACATTTATTGTTTCAATGCAGACACAGTATGATTCTGTTTTTAAAGATAAAACTACAAACAAACCTGGAGACTTTTTACGTTGATATAAATGAGCTTCAATAAGTTGTTGCAGATACTTTGATCAATGGAACCACCTACTATTAGAAATGAAAAACATAAAACAGTGGACAACCTCTTAACCTGTTGCAGGTGATCTAGAGCTCCATCTCCCACTTTTCCAGGAAGTCCTGCAAGTTGAGGTTGAAGAGATCGATGCCTTTGGGTGACAGGTGCACGCCGTCGGCCCGGTACAGGCCCGTGTTGCTGCCACACCGGATGTTTTCATGGGTCAGCGAGGCACCGCCCAGCTCCAACACGATGTTCTGTATTCTGCGATTTACCGTGGTTCGGACTAGATCCACTTCGTGGTTATCCGTAGAGTGGCGCCACAACCTCCGCGGGAGAATGTTGGACCACACCAGGATGCAGTGCGGAAAGATGCTCTTCATGGAGGTCAGGTCCTTCTTGACAGAGGCCAGCAGGTCGGTGGGGCTGTCGGTGCTCAAGTCGTTGCCGCCCAGGTGCATGATGAGGACGTCTGGGTTGGGCCAGGTGACCTTCAGCTGGTGGAGCTGGGGCAGGAGCTGGGACCACGTCATGCCCTGGGTGCCCTTCCACCAGATGGCCACCTTACTGGGGTCCATGCCCAGCTGCATACCTACCTCTGGAGACTTGGCCCGCGACTCGGCCCAGAACACCAGCGAGTGGCCACAGATCCAAACGTTCTTTGGCTCGCTGGGGGGCGTGCCTACGAAGTTTAACAGATTACATTTGTGAGTCACAAGCTGAGAAGTCTTTGGCACGAGTTAATTCTAAACTGACCCCGGCATTGAGGTATGGAACACAAGGATCTACCAGAAGGGGCTCCAGACTTTTAGCAGCAAAAACCAAGATACATCAGTAAGTAATTACAAACAGCCTGTGGTAGTAGTTTATAGATCTGCCTTCATATTGTGGTCCTCACAAGTTATCGCTCACGGCCTGAATTAAAGAACATTTGATTTCTAGCTAACTAACTAGCTGTATCAATGCTTATTCAACACATACACACACACACACACACACACACACACACCTCAAAATATTTAAGGAACACTGAAAACACAGCAGCTTTCAATGTGAAAACAAATAATGTTGGATATTGATACGGATTTAATGTCTGAAAGGACACATCTGAAAACCAGTGATAAAATGATGTGGCAGGGTAATCCATTTAGCCAAAATTCAATTTCTGCAACTCAAAAGGCTTTTCATATAGTTTGTGGGCCCCCGTGCTTGTATGCATGCTTGGCAACGTTGCGCCATGCTCCTAATGAGTTGACGCATGGTGTCTCTTGGGATTCCACCTAGATCTGTCTAAGGGCATCAGTGAGCTTCAGTAAAGTCTGAGGAGTAACCTGGTGCTGTCTGATGGACCCAAAGATAATGTTCCAGAGTTTTCTATCGGGTTTAGGTCAGGTCATCGTGAGGGCCATTCAATGGTATTACTTCATCCTCCAGGTACTGCCTGTATACTTTTGCCAGATGAGGCTGGGCATTGTCGTGCATGAGGAGTAACCCAGGACCTACTGCACCCGCGTAAGGTCTGACCTTGCGTTCAAGGATTTCATCCCGAAACCTAATGGCAGTCAGACTGCCGTTCTCTAGCCCATGGAGGTCTGTGCGTTCCTTCATGGATAGACGTCCCACCACCAAACCGCTCACGCTGAACTATATTGCAGGCAGCATAGCGTCCTCTTTGGCTTCTCCAGGCCCTTTCACGTCGGTCACATGTGCTCAGGGTGAACCTGCTCTCATCTGTGAAAAGCACACGTCGCCAGTGGTGGACATTCTGGTGTTCTATAGCAGATGCCAAAGGAGTGTTTTGAGCAGTGTACACACACACACACACACACACACACACACACACACACATATATATATACATTTCTCAAAAAACCCAATCTGGATAAGAATTGTTGAGCGCAGCAACACCTATGAACCTGTTATCATTAAAACTGAATTCTAATACATCTAAAACATGTTGAGCCGAGACAACGGCTCAACCAGAGTCCTGAGATTACCGACCAAGCTGAACCGCTATGGACGCCATCTCTAAAACAATGCTAACAGATTTCAACGTTAGCTTCTCGAGCTAACATTATCTTCACCGAACAGGCTAAATAAGGCCCAGAAATCAGAAGGTAATAAATGTAAAAGTACTCATGTGCTATACTTCATGGATATAGTTACTTACCACAGCGATGACAGACTACCAGTAAGTCGGGCCTGAAAATGCCAAAGCTATTGATATCTTAAATGAAGTCAGCAGCCAAACGTTAGCCTCCTGAGCTAACAGACGGTTTCACCAGCTGGAAAGACCTAGTAAAGCTAGGTCAAGACAAAATACCATATTCTCTTGTTAAGTTTGCAATTTATTCGGGACAAATGTAGCTCGAACACAAAGCTACGTAGCTTTACTTCATTCACATTACTAATGACATCTAACTGACGGGACGCTTTCTCTGAAGCCAACATTAGCTTCAGACTGGAGCGTAAGGCTAGGTGGCGGCTCAGAACACCTGAAGGTTGTAGTTCAGATAGTACTTCTACAAGGTTATTCAGATTGTTTTCCATATATTTGGAAAAAAGTAGCGCCGACAGAGCTATGTAGCTTTACTTCCATTACATTAGCATTAAATACCTCTGACTGACGGGGGGGGCTCTCGCAGAAGCTCAATTCGATACAATCTTCCGCTGTGAAATGACCTCAGCTCATGAAATCCATAACGTACTGGTAACGCAACAGATTCCCTACGAGCCCCAAAGAGTTACCGCCATGCCAATTGTAAGTAAGACTGAAATGAAGTCAAGCTCCAACTACTTTTTGGACAAAATCCTGAGCTTCCTGTGACGCTTGAAAACAACCCAGATGTTAGCATCGACGAAACTGTTACTCGATCAATATATGCACATAGCGTCATAGCTAGCTAACGTGAGATAGTACTACTCAGATTGGTTGTCGCTACCTAAGTACTACACGCATAGCACTACAAACAGTAGTACAGACTTATCTTATTATTATCTTTCAACGGCGCCATTTCTGCCTGCCAACATCAATCAAAGCCTAGCGGTTAGTTCAGCTAGCTAGTTAGATCTGTTAACAGTCCTTCACTGTGGTCGTCCTGAGACAGGTTGCCTCGTTGGTCATTGTCTTCTTCCAACAGGAGCTCCCGTTGGGACGCCAAGTCCTCCTCATGGTCAGGATGTCATCACAACATCATTACGATGTCATAACGATGCAACAGAACATTATTATAAATACGTGTCAATGGTGTCTTAGCAGTCAGAGGGATAAAACCTAAAAGGTTATTTTTAGAGGAAGTTCAGAGCGGATTTGTTGCCTCCACGCGGCTCTCAACGTGCGGCGGCTAAGTTAAACGGCGTCTACCGAAGTCGGCCGCTGTTACCCCAACTGTAATCGGCGAGAGCAGAGCGGCGGCGCAAGGTAGTGTCGACGCAGAAAATCAGAAATCGAATGGATCAGAAGACTCGAGCCAAAAAGGCTGCCATGCCTCAGAGGAGATTTCCTTCACAGGCTTCTAAAACTGAATCACAAGAAGCCGGACGGAAGGAGTGTGGGTCACAGCCTCGTAGTTTGGAACATCCCTGAGTGGTACCCAGCTGCAGATTCCATTAAGACACTGGTTTGGTGAAGGAAGAACACTGAGCGCGGCAGTATTTAATATGGAAGAGTTATAGGGCTAATAGAACTAGCTTGATTAAGACCATCACTAACAACATGGCTAGCTATCTACTAGTTCTGGGTATCAGACCTCAATAACTACTTGATAAAAACTCAAATGTATCTGGAGGTATCAAATACTTCGAACAGTCCGGTAGCTGGGCTGGCATCAAAGGCATGTTCAGTTTCATAGTTGCGTTTACTTAATGCTTGCATTCAGAATAAATCGTGTTGGTATCAGCAGTTAGAAATGTCAAACTAAACTCAACCTGGCTAAAAACATGTCTTTATTAAAGTCTCATAGCTCATCTAACTATAAAGTTCTTTCTGGACTCCTGATTGCTGGAAACTAGATATAACATCACATGAAGAGAAAAAGAATTTACTTTGTGCAGATTGCAGCTGGTTTCTTCTTTTGGTCGGTAGGACAAACCACTACTCTGCTAACGTGGGAGGCAGAAAAACAGCGTGATGCCGTCAAGAAGTTGTTTGTTACTCCGTCGGGATCTCTGCTGGGGCTGAAAGCTGCTCCTTAATAAAGCAACCCGTGCTACCGGGAGAGATGCTAGAAACACCAATGCTGGCAAAGACATGTCCGGGACAAACCTTCTTGTGAATCTCCATCTCTATCACAAAATGAAAAAAGACACCGTGAGAACGTGCAAGAGGTTTGTATAGCATCAAGGTGGAGCTTCGACAGCTAAATGGAATCCTGAGTTGAACACTGAAGGATGTTCTAAGTCCACTTCAACTGGAGACAAGTCTTTACTTCAGTCAGATCCAAACAAAACTTAGCGATACTTTCACTAAGTCACCTTCTTAACTTCCAGTATAACTCTGGTTTTCAAGCCAAAGCCTGGCTTACTGTCTGGGGGAAGATAAATGCATTTAAAGCTGCAAAATAGCCATATGATATAATATGCTATAGCCATATAGCATATTTAAATCCACATAAAACATGCAGCAGATTAATTTACTACACCCTGAAGAACATAACACTGAGCACACTGAGAACATAACTTGCTGAACTCGCAAATTTTCATTTAAAGGTAGTTGAGTTAGTTGAGTTCAGAGTATATAAGGTGTGATACCTGGAAAGATCCGTACGCCGTCTTTCCACTCGCCCCTCTGATTCTTGCGGCTGAGCCAGTCCTTGTAGTGCAGGTCCCGCTTCTCTAAAACCCTCTGGTTGTACGAATCCAGCTGAAAAACCCAAACAAAGGCAGCGTTGAAGTGTGGTTATTTTTTTGGCTCTACATCAGCGAGCTGTCCACCTAGATCAAGAGTATCCAACAATGGAAGTGTAAGACAACTGCACACCTATAAGATGAGGGATTATCTGAAACTGAAGTTCAGTAGCCAACAAGCAGCATATGCTTCAAATCACAGCCTTCTTATCGACACATTTAAAACATCTCACAGGTCCTCTTACTTTTACATCTTGAGTAACTCTGATACCACATGTTTACTTTCAATGAAGTGAAGGATTCCCCTGTCGATCCTACCTTCTCCTGCTGCCTGTTCTTAACTTCATCATCTGCCTCTGCGGAGGTCTGATGACTGGAAGCTGATGAAGAGACTGTTGGTAAACTGAACTGCACCGATTTCACCGGTTTGGCTAAAGGTTGAACCGCCAACGACTTCACCGTCTCAATGACCTTTAAGCATCTGGCCACTGTGGTGGAGATGGTCGGTTGGTTCTCGCTCGACGGTGGTGGTGGTGATAAAGCTACAGTGATCATAGGCTGCAAAGGACTGGAGGGGTTAAGGGGTGGCACTGCAGGAGGTTGGCCAATGATAGGAAAGACATGACTGGAGGATGGAGAAAAGGGAGGTTGTCCTGGAGGGTGCTGGGGTGGAGGTCCTGGAGGGGGCTGTGCTGGACGCTGAGGAGGCAGTCCAGGGGGAGGGCCTGGAGGAAGTCCAAACCTCTGGGGTGGTCGCTCCACGCTTGGGGTTAGGGAGCTTTGCTGTGGAGGAATCTGGGAAGTGACTGCAAGAGGCCAGTTAATTGATGGGAGTGGATGTTGGTAGCGTGCAGGCGGAGGCCCGGGAAGAGCAGATGGAGGAGGAGTGGTGGAGGGTGCGCTCCCTATTGTTTTGGTGAGACTCTGTTGATGTCGTGCCTTCTGCAGAGCCTCCAGCTCTTGCTGGTCCAAAAATCCTTCGTACTCGGAGACTGCTTTCGATCTGCCGAGTGTCTCCAAGCTGGAGGACCTCGTAGGGACGGGGGAATAGATGTGATCCAGTTCAACAGAACCAGTTCTACTTGTTTGCCGACCTTCCCTTGAGGATGACAAAGTCTCTCTTTCTGAGGATGAGGACTTTGGGCTGTAGACGTTCCCTTGGGCTCGGCTCGCCAGTTTGGACATATCTCCCGTACTGAGCTTCAGACCGATTGTACGGAGTAGACTTTGAATCTTGTCATACGGTTTCCCCTTGTGCTGTGGTTCCCCACTGGTTCTTTCTACTGAGGATCTTTGAGAGCTCTGCTGTGTGTTTTCCCCATCTTGAGCTAGACTGCTGCCGGGTTGCTCTTGAGCCAATCCAACAATACGTGAGAAACCGCTGCCGTCTTGAAGGGCCTTCTCATGAGGCAGAAGCTCATCATTCATATGAACCGGTTCAGATTTCTTTTCAGCATCCACCTTTTGGCTGAGCATGTCAAGAAAGCGGTCAAGGGGCTGTTTCACTGTTGAAGGCGCCTTGTAAGGAGTTGTGTTCTTCAGTGTGGGTGAGGGGCTTCTAGGAGGCAATTCTGTGGGAGAAGGAGGTCTCAGAGAGTGCGGGGTAGATGAAAGTGCAGCAGTATTCATCAATGGAGGCTGAGGTGAGGCGGATTGAGAAGAAGCTGAGGGAACGTGGGTCTGTTTCACGGGGCGATGCGGCTGATCAGCCCGCTCAGCATATGCCACGTCGCAGTAGCGGTCGTCATACGGTTCATCATAAACATCATAGCGATCGGCGTACCGTTGGCTGGCAGAAGGAGGGCCACCGTAGGAAGGTTCACCATAGAGAAAAGTTTCATAGGGGCGATCGGTGTAGGGCCGCTCGCCATAAGGATGCTCGGTGTAAGACCGACCACCGTATGGATCACCGGGGCGCTCAGGATACCGCCGGTCCTGGAAAGGACTGTACATCCGGTCATAGTAAGGATCCTCGTAGGGATGAGGGGGAACATGGAGGTAATCGGGTCCTTCTGGCCGTTTCTTCAGGATGGACCGGACGGGTTTGTACTCCGTAAGAGGGACGGCGATCCGGCCGTGGTCGTAATCTATGCAAGTCCTCTGTCCGGGGTCCATGTCCACTAGAGACTTCTTGTAGGCAATCATGTCGTTCAGCTCCTCCAGCTCCCGCTTCTTCCTCGCTAGCTCATCATCCACGACACCACCACGGCTGGAAGGAGGGCTTACTTCCTGTCTTCTCTTGTGGCTTTCGTCGCGGTCTCTGACAATTTTGCTGCTCTTGATGGCCCGCTCCTTGCTCCTGCTGCGACTCCTGCTGGAACTCCTGGTCCGGCTGCGGCTCCTACTGTGGCTCTTAGTGAGACTCTTGGGGGGCCGGCTGGACCTCTCGCGGCTTCGGCTTCGCCTGTACCTGCTGCTTTTGCGGTCGGTGCTGGTGCTGCTTCTCTTTGTGATGATGCGTCCAAACTGGTCTCTGGGCGGACTCGGACTCCTACTCCTGGCCTTACTCCGACTCGGACTCCTACTCCTGGCCTTACTCCGACTCGGACTCCTACTCCTGGCCTTACTCCGACTCGGACTCCTACTGCTGCTGCTCCGGCCCCATTTGTTCCTACTGGCTTCGTAATCCCTTCTGCCGATACTTGTCTTGCTGTCCTGCGTTCTAAGGTTTTTCACCACAGCCTTTATTTTGTCCGTCTCTGGTTTTTCTTTTCTGAAATGTCAGGTTGAATTATTAGAATAATCTCATAGTTTGTATTTCTGTTCATCCTGTCGGGATATCAATGTGACCTAGTGGCAAATATTTGTGCGCTAACGAACATTAAAATAAAACCATTACTCACTCAGTGTCCTCTGTTTTTGCCAACTTTATGGTCATCTATCAACAAGAGGCATATGGGACAACGTCAGACAAACCATGATCTCTATCGCTGGTTGAATAACATGGATGCTAAATGAGGACTCATGAGGAGTGAGCGATTATACATCCAGTCCTCCTCACCTTGCCCTTATTCGCCCCGACGCCTCCCAGTCTACGAGCAGGGAGGAAGACGCTCTCTGTGAAGCGTTTTATCCGGATGGCTTGGTTTCCACCTTCCGCCGTTTCATGCTTTGAGAAACAAAGACAGAAAATGTAGAGAAATGTAGAGAAGAAATGAAGTCAAGACCGAAGGAACGCCGCGACACCATCGGTTTACAACTCCGACGGGAGGGCAGGGGGGTGCGCTCTGTGTGTACAGGGAAACGCTGACTTAAATAAACATCGATAGAAGCTCCAGAGACAGGAAGCTAGCTGGCTGCTGTAGCTACACAAGCGGTATGCTACCGTTAGCTGCTGCATGACGGAGTCATCAGAGTGTGTAGATAAAGTGTTTCCATTGGCTCAGGCACCGAACGCAAACAGCGAAATCTGTGTAGCGTTTCGCATTGGATAGTATTTGGTACTAATAAAGCACCGGTTCTTGGTACCAAACCCTATTGAAGACTAAAGAATATAAGCTGCTGTTTAGGGAAGGTAAGAGGGAAGGTAAGAGGACAAAAAGGGACCTGGAGAGAGTAAGGGAGGAGGAGGACTCACCGGGACCACGCTGAACTCCACCTTCTCGTTCAGCTCCAGTCTCTTCTTCTCGATCACCTCCGACATGTGGAAGTAGAGCTGAGGGTTCTGAACACACTTGATGAGTCCGGAGGCGTGAGAGAACTCAATCACAATGCCCTAGTGGGAGAAACATCACAACGTGAATCCAGCCAGTCGAGGCTCTGACTGCCCCCCCCCCCACCCAAAACCCTTCGTTTGGAGGCCTTACGTGTCGACGTTGCTCGATGGACTCTTCGAAGGAGTCGGGAAGAATCTCCACGAAGGTGGCGCGCTCCTCTTTGTTCTCTCCATGAGTGGCTATGTTGAAGCGTACCTTCAGGGATAATGGACAACCTTGTGACTACCTTGTGAAAGTGGTCAGATGACTTCTTTGTTATGTAAGATATGCTTCTATATTGTGAGCAATCCAAACATGTTGACATGACACTTACACAACAACCAGAATGCATCTGTGCTCTTCATTTGTGAAGCAGTCAAACAGCTCTTTATTCATGCGAGCATGCTAATGCTACGTCAAATGAGTCCTGGTAACATCAGTCAAATGGTGAACCTGTCTGATGGCTCTCACCTTGTCTCCATCCAGCATGGTGGCGGTGCTCAGCAGGTCGTTGGGTCCGAAGGGAAGAAGCTTCTGTTGGCCATCGATGGTCATCACCAGTCGACCCATCTCCGGCATCACCGCCTCCTTATTCTTCTCCTCCATCTTCCCCTCCTCTCCATCTTCCTTCTTGACTTCATCAGTCTTCTCCGTCTTGATGTTCACCTTCGGGACAGAAACATTTGAATTTATGTCTGAGGAAAAGGAATCACCAATATGAGCCTCGGTGGCCGTCCTTCTGCCAGAGCTTCCCTCGTACCTGCTCCTCCTTCTCCTGGGGCTCCTTCTTGATCTCCTTACGTGGATATTTGGAGATGGCTTTGAGGATTGTGCCTTGGAATCGCTCCTTGCTGACATCATCCTGCGTGTCAGGGTTCCTCACCCTGATGCCGAGCGGCGACCACTGAGGAGGGGGGGGGGACAACAAATCATTGCCGGTTTAATGAGCTTTTTGCATTCCAACGCATTTTCAGCAGGAAATGCATTTTCTAGTTATTCATTTTATGTGAATTCTGTTTCATTAAAAACTCACTTTGCATTTGGCTGCTGCCAACGCCGCAGAGACCTCCTCGCTCTTCTTCCTCTCCGCCTCCTTCTCCATCTTCATCCTCTCTACCTCCTCTTGTTTCCTCCTCTCCTCCTCCTCCCTCCTCTTCCTCTTCTCCTCCTCCTCCCGTCTCTTCTGCTCCTCTAGGATTTGGTCCTCCACCCTTTTGGTCCTCAACAGTCTGATGGCCCTCTTTTCTGCTTTCACCTGCAAAATAAAGACGGAGGAAAGCATGATGCGACAGGATGAGACACCGGGTCACCTCCTGTTGCCCTGCAGACGTTCGTCTAACTCACCATGGCAACCGTGAACTCCACCTCCTTGTGGATGTCGCCGCTGTTGAACTTGACTTCGCCAAAGTTCTCACAGATGTCAAAGGGAAGCTCGCCGTGCTCTTCGGAGTTGACAATTCCTTCTTTTGGACCCAGAAAGGTGACAATGCCCTGAAACACACACACCGAAAGGTTCACTCTTCATGGTCCCAGAGGAGGAACCGGGCAGGCAAGCAGCAGTGCGGGCATGTGGTACCAGCTCTCTCTTCTCCTTGGTGTAGCTGAAGGTGAAGGGGATTTTGGGTTTGATGTTGGCTGCTCTCCTCTTCCCGGTACTGACGTCCACCAGCAGGTTGATCAGCACGTGGTCGTTCTTCAGCAGCGTGACGCCACAGTCCCGGTGGTCGAAGGTCACGTTGGTCTTGAGGGGGCCGATGTTGGCGTGGATCTGACCCGGGTAGCCCTGCATGTTGGGCTGCAGAGAGAGAGGAACCAGTAAAACCAATTAGCGGCCATTACAACATTCTCCAGACCAGGGGCCTCATTTATAAAACCTCGCGTAGGATTTGCGCCAGAAGTGGCGTGCGGATGAAACGTAGGACGTGCGTACGCACAGAAATATTCAGACTTATAAAACGTCCTACGCAGTTTTCCCTTAATAAATCACAATCACGTCTAAATGCAGCGCAGCTTTTGCGGCTTCATGTCACGCCCACAGTTGCCCATATATAGTCTGTGGAACGCCCACAAATTAATATTCATCGATTGGGAAATCACGATAAACACTGAGAGGAAAACGAAGAGACGTAACTTGACTCAGTGTGAAGTGGAGATGATCACTGGGAGGTGGAAGGAGACGTAAGACGCTCTTTGGAGGACACAGTGTGGATCACTGATGCCAACAAGGCATCTGAGGGGCGTCACGACCTCGGACCCAAACAAAGAAAAACTGGTCTGACATCAAAGTGGATGCAAAGAAGCGTTTAGCCATCGGATGGATGAATTTAACAACATGCCGATATTATTGCAGAACATATTTCACTTTTCTTTTTGAAAAAGTGTTAATTAGTATTTGTTTGTTTTACGCTGCAGATCAGACGGGTGTTCGTGTTATTTATGAGAGGCAGTATTGGCATTTCTTTTACAACAGTAGTTTTACACACTTTCACACACACGTTTGCGTGTTTCTTGCGTTTGCCGACGGTTCATTTCACCCGTTTTGTGCGCACGCGTGGGTCTGAGCCTGCGTGAAGGACGGCACATTTTTCCGTCAAGTTTGCTTTTTATAAATACCAATTATTGCGTAGAGAGCGGCGCACGCCTTCTGTTGTGCGTACGCAACGTTTAGAATTGAGGCCCCTGGAGATTAAAGTTGAACCTCCCAAGACATCGAATAACAATAAACAGACATGGACGTAGTAGAGCGACGGAACCACGTATCGGATCACAGCTCCTGATGGACTCCTCACCGTGGGCTCAATGATCGGCTGGCTGACGATGCCCTCGTAGAGCTCCGAGTCCAGCTTCATGTTGACGCCCAGCTCCGGCCCCACACCGGCCTTCCCGTTCAGCTGCAAGTCTTTGTCCAGCACGGGGTGCCGGGCGGCGGCCTCCTCTTCGGCGGCGGCCGTGGCGGCCGACAGCGTCAGAAGGAGGGGCTCCGTCACCCTCCGGATCCTGATGGCCCGCTTCCCCCCCCTCAGCTGAGGAGAAACCGACCGACACGGCTTAGAAACACGCTTCCGTACTAAAGGCAGCGACAAGGTCTCTGAAGGCCTGTTCCTCACCGTCAGGGCGGTGAACTCAACCTCCTCGCCAACGTCCTCGGCCGTGAACTCGATGTCGCTGAAGTTCTCTCTGATGCTGAAGGGAAGCTCACCATGTTCGTCACACTTGATGACACCTTCGCTGTCCTTCAGGCTGAGGATGACGCCCTGAGGAGTTAAAAACACAGACTCAAGAGACAGAAACTGAGCCTCCAGGAAATAAACACATGATTAAGACTGAAGATGCTGAGAAGAAGACTGGAGTGTGCAACATGCAAGTTGAGAATCAGGATCTCGTCATCATGCAGAAACACAAAGGACTCAACTGAAAAACACAGAAATCGAAAACTTTTCACATTGAAAGTGTGTTAAAACGAATACAAAGTCTTCTAAATAGCAGATTAAGCCCCTGACAGGAACCCAACCTAACTTGACCTCTGACCTTCTCCCTGGTCTCCTTGGTGTTGCTGAAGGTGGAGGGGATTTGGGGTTTGATGTTGGTGGCTCTTCTCTTCTCGCTGACAATGTCCGTCAGCAGGTTGATGAGCACCTGGTCGTTCTTCAGCAGCGTCACTGTGCTGTCCTTCCTGTCAAAGGTCAGGTTGGTCCTCAGCGGCCCGATGTCCACGTGGACCTGGCCCGGGTACTGACGTTCACCGGGCTGCAGACCAACAAAGCAGAGGTTGAAAGGTCATTCCGGGGAACGGGTGGAGAGAGGACAGGGCGGGTGGGGGTGAACCAACCTGAGGCTCAGCGATGGGCTGGCTGACCACCGCCTCGTAGATCTCCGTGTCCACGTTCTCGGTTCCACCAGGAGCCACCTTCACATCTGTGGCTATCGGACCGTTCTGACCCAACACACAGAAGACCACATTCAGACCATCTGGGCCCCAAAGCTGTGAACCTACATACCTGGCGGATGGGAGGGGGGCCGGGCTCGGCGTTGGCCGGTGTAAGCCCCTGTGTGTCGGGGCAGGACTGCAGCGAGAAGTGGACAAGAAATGAAAGCAGGCCTCACCTTCTCCTTGCAGGCCGTGAAGTGAACTCTGACCCCGGGCGTCATGGCCTTTGGGTTTCCAAAGAAGGCGGCGAAGCTGAAGCTGAACTTCTCCAGATCTTCTCTCTCGATGTAGCCGAAGGTGGGCTGAGGATCAGAGGCAGACGGACTCGGATGAAAAACTGAATCCACCAATATCCAAATAATAGCCGTTGGGGGCAGTTGTGGTGACAAAAGGTCTACAGAAGAAAGCACATCATGAGTCACGTTACCCCAATGAAGGAGATGATCCCTGTGGACCTGCCAGGAGGAGGCCTGAGGACACGAACACATCGCTGTCAGGCTCAGGCGAAAAAGAAGAGGAGACGAAGTCCAGCCTCCAATTAATGACTCACTTATCAAAGGTGCGTTTCCCCAGCAGACCCAGCGCTCGGTTGGTCTTAGTGGGATCGGGTCGGGGTTTGGGGGCAGCGGCGGCTGGGTCAGTCGGTGTTTTGGCGACGGACGGATCTTCGGCGGGATTCTTAGTTTCCCCTGGGGTCGACTCACCAACCGGAGCCGAAATCAAGGCTTTGATCTGAAGAGAGGGTCTGGTTATTGGGGTTAGTTAAACCAGATAACCAGTAGCACCAGGGAGACGGACCGGTTGCCATGGTTAGTTAGAGTTGTGTACTCACCCACTCAGGCTGATCAGGTGGTGGGTTGAGCATCACTTCCTCCACAATGGTCTGATGGCAGAAAGAGAATCCAATCAGCCTTCAATCCCATTGATCAGATCAATAACAGAGGAGGAAGACGCTCACCTCTCCGGTCCAGCTGGGAGGGGGGTAGCTCAGGTACCCTAAAGGTAGCCCGCAGGCTGGAGGGGGGATGGGAGGCACGGGCCCCGGCCCGTAGGCTGGGGGGTCTGGAGGAGGGACTGGTAGTACTGGTGGAACAGGCTCGGACCTCCACGAATGAGGGGGATGCTCCGGACCCCAGCCAGGGGGTCCCCAGCTCGAGAGGGGTCTCCAGTCGTCCGGATGAGGGGGTCTCCAGTCATCGGGGTGTGGGGGTCTCCAGTCGTCCGGATGAGGGGGTCTCCTATCCTCAGGGTGGGGTGGTCTCCAGTCGTCTGGATGAAGCCCCCAGCCCGGGGGCCGGTGATGGTCCTCTTGGTCCCCAGCAACGTGGTGGAGGCTCTCTTGGTCCCCACCCTCCAGGGAGCGGGGGCTCTCTTGGTCCCCACCCTCCAGAGGACAGAGGCTCTCTTGGTCCCCCACCCTCCAGGGGGTGGAGGCCCCCATTCCTCGGGCGGCAGAGGCCATCCACCGGGCGGTGGAGAGCCCCAGTCTTCCGGTGGCTGATGACCCCAAGCTCCCGAGGGTGGGAGGCCCCAGCCCCCCGGCGGCGGGGGCCCCCACCCTCCCGGAGGACCCGAATCGAATGGAGGTCTGCTGTCGCCCATCGGTCCCATGGGGGGTCGGTTCCGCATCGTCCGATTCCTCGGTGGGACAAAGCTAATGGCTAACGATCACACAGGACGCTAGCAGGCTAAGCTAGCTACAGAGTTAAGAGGATAACATCAAAACACTCCGTCGGCTCCGTTTCCGTTCACATCAAAGATGGCAGTTAACTCAAATAAAAGTATAGATTTCCAACAACAGCTTGAAGCTAAAGCCCGAACAAGCACGAGCGAAGTGTTGCTATCGCGGTCTTCTTCTTCTTCCTCGTGGGTTTTAGTGCAGACAGCGCCACAGCGCCGCGCTGCCTGTCTGCGGTGCAAAGAGTCACTGCATCTAATAAAAGAAACATACGTACTCAGACATTAAATATAAATGTAAGAAAAGAAACAGACAGACAGTGTTCAGACGCAGTGCCCTGCAACCCCCTTTGGACAAACTGCAATTCAAATAGACTTGAATAGTCTATTTTATTTTATATTTTAGTAGTAGTTATTGAACTTTTTCTCATTTGATCAACACGATTCAAGATATTTATTGTCATGTGTACAGATTAACAGGTTACTCTGTACAATGACATTCTTATTTTGCTAAGCCCTCCTTCCACAAAGCTACAGATGTAAAAATAAAAGTAAATAATAAAAAGTAAATGATATATATATATGCACTAAAGAGCACAATGTCTAAATATGTGCATGCATACGGTAAAGTGCACCATGCGTTTTTGCCAATATTGCACAAGAATCAGTGACATGAAGTCACAGCAGCGGTGTGTGTGTCTGCATGGGTGTGAAGGGGGGGGGGGGGGGGGGGGCTCGTGAGCGAGCTGCTTCATCAGCCTGTTGGCCTGTGGGTAGAAACTGCTCATCATGAGCTGTGCTGTTTTTATCCCACGCTGGAGGGCCTTCCTGTCCTGCAGCGGAGGGTTCGTACCACACGGTGATTGATGTGAGGTCTGCAGACCGAGTACAGCCTCTGCTGGGCCTTCCTGGTGATCTGGAGTCTGTTGCGAGACCAGGTGAGGTCCTCACTGATGTTCTGAGTTTGCAGAAAATCTTGCCCACACTCTCCACCGGTCTCCACCAGCGCATCTACAGATGAAATGTGCCTCTATTCTTCTTCTCAGTCAGATTGAAGGCATGAATTTATGAATGAGTTACGAATTATGAATTTAAATCTCACCATAGATTCTAATGGGATTGATGTGTGTTTTTTGACTGGTCCTTTTAAACCTGCTTGATGTGAACATTCCATCGTAGCTGGTTGTAAGTCAATGTCAATTTTATTTATATAGCACTTTTAAAGGTCAATGGCCAGCCAAAGGGCTTTACAGGATAAAAATAATCAGCAGCAATAAACAATACGAGCAAAAGTAAAACAACAAAGAACAGTAAAAGGCAAACAAATAAAAGATCCAATACAGGTGCTTCTTTGTCCCGTCAGGAGACGGGCTGCTGCATTCTGCACAAGCTGTAGACGTTGAGTTCTGATCGGCCGATACCGACTCGCAATAGTCCAAACGTGAAGATATAAAAGCATGCATGACTTTTTCGAGGTCAGCCCTGTTTAGATCGGGTTGGACTTTAGCTAGAAGCCGAAGCTGGAAGAAGCTAGCCTCAACCACAGAGCGGACCTGCTGGTCCAATTTAAAGGTCACGGCCTGGGAACCTGTGTAAGGTATGTTGAGGGTCATCGTCCTGCTAGAAGTTGAAGCTCCGCTCCCATCTCAAGTCTTCTGCAGACCATCATGTTCTCTTCAAGGATTGTCCTGTATTTGGCTGCATCCACCTTCCCCTCATTGTGACTCCTTTCCTGCTGAAGAGGAGCGTGATGCTACACCACCATGTTCCCTGTTGGGGTGGTGTCCTCAGGCTGATGGGTGGTGTTGGGTTCTGGTCTCCTCTGAGCAGAGCACCTTCTTCCTCGTGTTGGTGTGTCTCCCACACGACTTGTGTTAAACACCAAACAGGATTTCTTCTGTTTTACTCTCAGCAGCGTCTTTCTTCCTGCCACTCTTCCATAAAGGACAGATTAGTGGAGGACACGGTAATAGTTGTCCTGTGGACAGATGAGGATCTTTTCAGCTCCTCCAGAGTTCCCCTCTGATTCATCTCCTCCTGGTCCGGCTGCTCACTTTGGGTGGACGACCTTCTCTTGGTGGGTTAGAGGTTGTGCCGTATTCTTTCCATCGTGACGATGGACTTCATGGAGCTCCGTGCAGTGCTATTTTTTAGAAGCTAACCCTGCTGCATCGATGAGCTGCTCGGTCTCCATGATGCTCATCGTGCTCTCTAACACTCCACAGAACACGTGGATTTATACTGAGATTAAATTACGGTCTCAGTATTTACTATTTACTAATTATGTGACTTTAGAATCAGAATCCATTTATTAATAAATAAATAAGTAATTGGTGAGATATAAGAATAAAAGATAAAAACAATATAAACAGATATGTTAAACATATGTAAAATTAAATATGTAAACTCGTTAAGTATGAATATAATACAATCAACAAATGTATAACATTAATCAAATACACTTTAAAGATGTTAAATAAAAGTACAATAAACAAAGATTTATATAAATAAATAAACTATAAATATAATGGAATGAACTGTCATTAAATATTAATTTATAGTCAAATAAACATAAATATAGAAGATACAGAGATAAAGTAAACTGAGTCGTTAATATAAAATAAATATAATAAAATAAGTTTGAGATTTAAATATGAACATCCATAGTTAAACAAATATAAAAATGAACCGACGTTAAATAAAAAATATAAAAATAAACTCAAACCTTAAATATAATGAACATAATATATAAATATAATGAACAAAAGTCAAGTCATCCTGCAGCAAAAAAAGCTTTTATTAAGTTTGATGCTGAAGCCGTTCAACATTTTAGAACATCACCAAACAGAGAGCCGATACCAACTGGACTCCAGAACCAGAACCAGCTCCCACTGAGCGGGATCCATGTGTGGATGATGGATCGGTTATTGCAGAGATACTCTCAGGATTAGCTCCTTCAGAAACATCCAACGCTACAAACACGTAAAAAAAAGACTCAGTGAGATATTTGTCATAAAAATAAATGAAGGCAGAGCGTGTGATGAACCGATAAATCTTTAGATAACTCTGGATCAATAATCCAAACTGTCACTGAAATAAAAACCCTGGTTTCAAACCAGTTCCAAACTGGGTTTTAACTGGTTAACTGGTTGGAAACCAGTTCTAAACTAATTTCAAACAAGTTAGAACTAAAAATGACCAGAACTCACAACATGACTTTCATGTCAGAATTTACTTATTTACTATTTATAATTAATTTTCATAACTTTAAGACTAAACGAAGATTTTTCCGTCTTAGAATTTAAATATTAAACTCCTTTCTTCGCTTGACCGTCGTGCTTTGACTATTTGAAAACATACAAAGGGAAATCCAGGAGGTGGAAGGTGAGTGCAGCCATGTTGGCGGTGGGGGCAGGTTTCAGGTGGAGGGGGAGGAGCCTAAGGCTCCGCCCCCTTAGTCGAAGGGACTGAAGTCTCTCTCCAAGTTCTCGGACTCGTCGTCGTCGGAGAAGAAGTCGTCCTCGTCGATGTCGTCCTCGTCGTAGTCCTCGTGCCACTCCGGGACGTACTCTTCATCGTACTCCTCGTCCTCGTCGCCGTAGTTGTTGTTGTCGGAGTCTCCGGACTCCGACCTGAGACAAAATTAGAAGCATCACTCCTTTATATTCATCGTGGTTTTCTCATCGCTTGTGTAAATTTGTATAATAATTCATCTTAAATTAAAACAAATCCGCCGATGGATGTAATATTTGGATAATGGATAATATATATATAATATGGATAATAATGATGATGATTGCAATAATAAAATAAAATCAGCCCTCTCTGGAGTCGCACTCACACTTTGTTGGGGTCCTTGCTGGTGGACAGGTTGGAGGCCTGAGTGGATTCTGCTTCCTGGCTGCTCTTGGACTGATAACCCACCCTGAAGTCCTGGAGCAGACAGAAACAAACTGGTACTGGTACTGAACTGGTTAACCGCAGCGAGGTTTGTATCCTTATGAAAACAATGTGGAATACACGGACGTGGTAAACATGGGTTTTGCATACTGGATTTATACACTGGTTTGGGCCCGTCTCTGCACTGGTTTTAGATGGTGGTTACAGTCGGCCTTTAGAGTGGTTTTATACTGGTTTAAGCCCGCCTTCCTGCCGGTTTTAGACTGGTCACCTGGGTGGAGTGCTGCAGGATGGCCAGCAGGCGCTCCTGGATGCGTCGGATCAGTTCCAGTCCCGTGTTCAGGTGTTCTGGTTTCAGCAGCCGGACACATGAAGCCAGGTCCGTGCACTGCAGCAGAGTCTCCTCTGAGAACACAGACAGAACCAGTTACCACCAGTGAGACCAGTCTGGACTGTGTTTAAAAAAACAATGCGTCACCCAGCAGGATCTGCAGAGCGTTGGTGTGCAGGTCCAGAGCCTCCGTCTGCTGCTCCATCACGTCCATCTTCTCCGTCTCCTGGTTGTAGTAGCTGTAGACGCAGGAGTAGGCCAGCACCTGCAGACCGCGAGGACACAACAAAACCGTTGACAAGCAGGAGGCTCATCTCAGCCCGACGATGACGAAGCCGTTGAAGACGGAGGTGTTACCTTACGAGCCTGAGCGAGAACTTGACAGGCGTCGGTGACAAAGGTCAACGACTTCATCTGCAGAGCTTCATTGACGGACGAAACTTTGTTCTGCAGGTTGATTGCAAAGTCCTGCAAGAGAGACCGGATTCACTGAGTCCTCCTGATGAAACCTCGTGACCTCCCCAGAGCCCCTCATGAGGCGCACAGATGTCCCACCTTGGCCTGGTTGTGGAAGGTGCATCGCTCGTTATAATCCTGGAACTTCTTTTCCTGCCGCGCCGCTTTACTCACCTGCAAAAAAGAACTCTGGACACTAAACAACGAGAAGACGGGTGAAATGGTCTTGAGGATTATTTGGGTTTATCGTATGAGACAGTTTGGGAGGGATTAAGTTCCATTATTTATTTGATGAGTGACTTATACAGTTAAGTTAATATATAACTTATGAGGGCTCAATCAAAACACAGAGTCATGTGACTGTTGACCAACCATGGCGGAGCAGTTGTAGTAATCTTTGTGTGTTGGTTTCCAGGGTTTCAGACACCGCCAGCAGAAGCCATGGTTACACTTGGCACAGGTCATACTGAGGAGAGAGGGACAGACCCATCATCCTCCTCCTCCTCCTCCTCTCCACCATCATCATCCTCTCCACACCACCATTAGCACCATATCCACCACAGTCATCATCCTCTCCACCCTCCTCTTCATCACCAGCTGTTGCTGGTGGAGTACGTACTGCAGGCAGCCTTCATTCTTCTCGATCTGAGCCTGGCAGCTGGGGCAGCGTTTGGAGATGAGCTTGGCGAGGTGTTTGCTCTGAGCCTCCATGGTCATCCCCTCGTAGTAACCTCCATCATCCATCCACTGGGACATGTGGCTGCAGCTGGCTGGGTAGTGGGCCTGCAAAGGGGAGGGGGGCTTCAGACCCCTGCATTCACATCTCAGCCTGACCGGTGTGTGTGTGTGTGTGTGTGTGTGTGTGTGTGTGTGTGTGTGTGTGTGTGTGTGAGACCTCTTACCTCAGGGAAGTTGCAGCTGAAGCAGGAGGACCAGCAGCACTTGGAGCAGGTCCCCATGCTGCCCATGTTCTCCTTAGACAGGATCTGATCACAGCCCTGAGGGTTGGTGCACCACGTCAGGTTGGAGCAGCACTCCACGTAGCCTCTGAGCAAGGCACTCTCATACTGAGAGGAGAAAAGCAGGGGGAGGGGGCGGGGCAGAGAGACAGCAAATTTGTTTATTGCAGAAACGGCGTCCGAACACGTTCTCTCTGCAAAGATTCTAGATCGATTAAGGATCCGTGATTCCTGGCACTCGGTTACCTTGGCGACTGTGTCCTTGTCGGTGAGGACGCTGAGGAAGAACAGCGATGTGGGCTGAGCCTGACAGTGTGGGATTGGACAGTTACAGTTCATCACCAGGTTCTGTTCGATCCTCGCCGTCAGGTACTCCTGCCAGCAGGGCTGCAGCGCACAGAATAACCAATACACAACCATCAATAACCAACAGACAACAACCCATCACCATGTTTGTGTTGCCGGGTGTCCCACCCTGCAGCAGTAGTGCATGCAGCTGAGCGAGGGCACCGGCTCCTTGGCGGGGGGGCGGGGCCCGAGGCACACGGGGCAAGTGGAGGTGGGGCTTGGCGGCGACACAGGGTTACGAGTCTCAAGTCCGGCAGCCACAATGAGGTCATTGAAGTCGTCGGTGTAGCGCTGGACCAGGAGGTCCACGTTCCACCTGCAGTGGACCAGAAGGTGCTCGGCTCGGTCCAGGTCCAGACTCAGAGTCCCCGATACCTGAGAGGACAGGGGAGACGTCATCACTTGTCTGGCATCTCTTGTTGGTCGTCTCTGTGAGGTCATTTAGTTTCTTCGACCACCTTCCAAATATTAACTATTATCTGTAAATGTCCTCTCGTCGATGGACATCTGTAACATCTGCGTGACTGACCTGTTGGACAGTCCTCTGCATCAGCTCACGAACCTCCTCCTGCGTCATGGTCCGACCCATCGAGAAGACGACCGCGTCCAGAACGCCGTCCTCCAGCGGCCGAGGTGTCGATGCCAGACTGCAACACACGATCACAGAGCTTTTAACGAGTGTCGTCCAACGACGAGTCAGAGCGCAAATGAAACCTGACGGGTCGGCGGAGACAGAGGACGTTCATTTGACGACCAGTGTTCACTTCATCTCATTTCCCCCAAAATCTGTCACGAAGAACAGCGTTTCTCTGCTTCTAAGTTAGAAATCATAGCAAAGAAAACGTACATATGCTGAATTAACTTAATATTACATATTAATATTAAGTTAATTCAGCATATGTACGTTTTCTTTGCTATAATTAAAGTATAATTCAGATACATTTTTAAATAGGTATTTGTATTTGGTTGAAAGCTACATTTTATATTAAATTTAAATTATTCTTTTAAATCCATCAATTAATGAGGATCTTAATTATTCCAACAAACAGGCAAACAACAAGCAAAGTTTAAATCATGGTTTTATTTTCTTTCTGTAAAAAATTAAACATTTTACATTTAGTCTGTTTTTGAATTACAGGAAGTGTAAAGTTTGTTTGAAGAAGCATTAATAATACGAGCAGCAACAAGAGCGGATGAGATGCGCTTTGATCGGGTAGAAGCGACGTAATAAAGGAGCCAATCATTCATTCATTAGGACGAGGCTTCCTGAAGAGACAAGACGGACACTCACGACACACAGGAAACAACAGTTGACCCTCGGAGGTCAGAGGTCACACCTGATGTCGGCGTCCTCCCGACCTTCGGCCCGGCTGAAGGAGAACTGGGCCTGGCCCTTCTGCGGCGTGGACGGGTCCGTCGGCAGGAACTCCACGATGTGCGGGTTGTCCTCGCTGCGGCGGACGCACCCTCGCCCGATGACGTGCATGATGCAGGAGAGCACGTCGCCCGTGCTGCAGCCGAAGCGCCCGGCGCCCGCAGGCCGGGAGGCTTCTCGCCTCTGGCAGGAGTCCAGCACCTGGGGGGGGCGGGGACAGCAGCTGAGCTCACGGATCTACCGCTTTGGAACCAGACTTCCCATGATGCCTGTGGGACACCCACCTTGAAGACCAGGTTGTCGATGTGCATCTCCTTCTCCTGCTTCATGATGTGGACGATCAGGCAGTAGATGAAGCTCCTCTTCCTCTCCAGAGCCCCCGGCGCGTCCTAGTCCACGCTCAAGTAGGTCTGGGCAGGCAGCAGCCGCACGGAGGAGGAGACGCCGCCCTCACCGAGACACGCCCCCTTGTGGTACAACGCGCGGGGGGGTAAAAGAAAAAGAGGAGCAGGGTTGAGTGAGGGAGGAGGAGCAGAGGGGAGGAAGACCACCAGAGGGGATCTGAGGAGGAGAACGAGGGGGAGCAGCAGGTGGGATCAGAGGATGAGCAAAGAGGAGGAACAGCAGAGGGAATCGGAGGAGGAGCAGAGAGGAGGAGCAGCAGAGGGGATCAGAGGAGGAGGAGCAGAGAGGAGGAGGAGCAGCAGAGGGGATCAGAGAGGAGGAGCAGAGAGGAGCAGGAGCAGCAGAGGGGATCAGAGGAGGAGAACGAGGAGGAGCAGCAGAGGGGATCAGAGGAGGAGCAGAGAGGAGGAGCAGCAGAGGGGATCAGAGGAGGAGGAGCAGAGAGGAGGAGCAGCAGAGGGGATCAGAGGAGGAGGAGCAGAGAGGAGGAGGAGCAGCAGAGGGGATCAGAGAGGAGGAGCAGAGAGGAGCAGGAGCAGCAGAGGGGATCAGAGGAGGAGAAGGAGCAGAGAGGAGGAGCAGCAGAGGGGATCAGAGAGGAGGAGGAGGAGCAGAGGAGCAGAGGGGCTGACCCTGGCACGGCTCCTCCGGCTGGCTGCAGCTCAGCGGTCCTCCCTCGCTGATGAGCGGCTGCAGAGCGTGCAGCAGGACAGCAGCCGACAGGCCGGTGGCCTTCAGCAGAGCTTCCACCGGAACCTCCTGCAGAGAGATGGTCAGTGAACGCATCACCAATCACATCAATCTATAGGAGAGGTGTCATGTCAAAGATCAGTTATTTTGTGTAATATGGCGTTGTGTTGTACCGAGTTACCTAACGTGTGCTGTATGATATATTGTGTTATCATCTCATCTTCACTCTCTTATCCAGCTCCAGCAGGGGAACCCAAACTTCCCTTTCCTGGGCCGCATCTACCGTCTCTGACTCACCGGCAACACGCGGGGGGGCAAAGAACCGTGACTGGCTCCTTTCAAAAGGAGCAGAGGCTCCTCTCAGAGCTCCTCCCCCGTCTCTAAGGGCGACGGAGCTCCTCCCCCGTCTCTAAGGGCGACGCCAGACCAGCGTTCATTTTGGCAGCTATTACTTTAGACTAAAATGCATGTTCGTTGTAGCCACATTTAACAGCCATATTAAACTCAGTGTGTCTACAGCTGCATAATAGTCCAGCTTGCGCGGCCACAATGGGTTGTAAAATGTGACGGAGGAGCCGGACCAAGAACAGATGGTTGTGTGAGCTGATATAAATGACATGTGGAAATCATACAGGCGGATGCGTCGCATACAGGCGGATGCGTCGCATACAGGTGGAGGCTCACCTGGTGGCTGTTGAGCTGCAGCAGGATGAACATCTGCAGAGTTGAGACGTGAAGCTTCAAGCAGCCAAACTGAAGCTCAGCGTGACCGAGCCACGTCCACTGGAGACGCCGAGGCTTCCAGTGGCTCAGACCCAGCATGGACTGACCTGGAGACACAGTCAGACTGGGTCAACTAGTTCGGACTGCGAGAGTAGAACTGGGTCAACTAGTTCTGACTATATGAGTAGAACTGGGTGAACTGGTCACTGACTGTGAGAGTAGAACTGGGTGAACTGGTCCAGGTAGGAGCAGAGCTCCTCTGGAAAGTGTTTTGTGGGTTCGTCCAGAAAGCAGAGCGAGGACACGGCCCAGCAGCGTGGAGAGAGAACCAGAACCTGGACCTCCGCCTCCGTCTCCTCATCTGACTCCACCCATTCCTCCTCCATTATCTGCAGAAACAACAAACTTTAAAATCCTTGAAACATTATTCCAGAATGATGGAATCCGGCACCAATTCATCATCAGAATAAGCAATCAAACATGTTCATAAACGTTTGAGTATCAAATCCAAATAACCTGGAGACGGTTCGGAGGATTTTTACCAACCTGGTCGTGCTCCTGCAGGCACCGGTCCAGCTGCTGCAGGCGATACAGGTGGAACTCCTGCTGCAGCTCCGCCGACTCGCTCAGGTTCTTCAGCATCTGCTGAGGGAATCGACTCGGGAAGCAGCTGCCGATCTGATCGATCACAGCGCTCTCCAGCCACACGTTCCCCTGGGCCAGCAACCGGTCGCCCAGGTAGTACCTGAGACGGAGAGCGAGGAATTAGGGCGGTGACTGCTGCAGAGAAAGAATTTCACTTTTTTTCAGAAAAAGATTTCATTTTGAAAAATGACCGGATTCTTTAATTTTGAAAAATTCTCTGCGGGTCCGTGGGGCAAAACAAGGACTGCTGGATTACAGGAATCCAGACGCCGCAGTCGGTTGGTCGGCAGCGGCGCTCAGACCTGTAGAAGTGCTCGAAGGTGTTGGCGAGCTCCAGACCCGACAGGAAGAGCATCGGCTCCAAAAACTGCTGCAGACGCTGGAGAGTCTCCGTGCTGCCCGACGCCGCCCCGCTGGCCTGGATGGTGGAGTCGATGTACTGAGAGAAACGCTCGCTCACCTGGCGGGGAGAGAAAGAGCGACACAGAGAAGTTATCATCAGTTTATGCCTCAAATATGATGACCATAATAACAGGAACAATGATCTTGTTGTAGTCTCTCTGTCCGTCCCCCCTGCCGTGGACCGGACTCACGTGCATGGCTCTGAGGATGGAGAGCTGCAGGAGCGCTGAGGAGAATCCGTGTCTGAGAGCGAGCACGAACGCGGTCTGCTGACCAAACAGCTCCTCCATGGCGTTCTTCAGCCGGAGGTACAGAGTCCGGTACCGCTCCACGAAGTCCGGCAGACTACAGCTGGACTCCAGGAACTTCTTCACCTAAGGGGGGGGGGGGCAAACATGTGAGGACCGGGAATTGCGGATCAGATTCCTTCCTTGAGGCCCGTGGGTGGGCGTTACCTGGCGCTGTACCACTCCCTGCCAGCAGAGGGCGATGCCTGCGATGCTGCTGCTCTTCAGCCTGGGCTTGGCCAAGGAGGCCGCGGGCGTTTCTTTGTTTTTACCCTCTTTGCCGTCTGGAGGACAAATGAGATAAAACAGGTTTTCTCGAGAGCTTCTTGGTGAGTGGATTGAAATGTGACAAAGAGAAGTGATGATGCAGATAAAGCAGTGCAGCCTCGTCGCTTCGCTTCCATCTGTGGTGAAACCACGTCAGTGTCACGCCGCAGATGGACACAGGAAGCCAGCATGCCAAAATAAGAGCAGTCCAAAGGGAGGGACAGAGGCAAACGCGTCCTGATGTCTGGTTGGAGAAGCCGAGAGCTTCAGTGACTGCTTCTACACTAACAAGTAGCATTACTCGGCGTGTAATGTGGTGGTTAGCAACTCCCCGGGAGCTTTCTGGGTGGAGTCTTCATGTTCTTCCCGTGTCTGCATGGGCTCCCTCCGGGTGCTTTGTCTACCCCCCCTCTAGTCCACAGACATAATCTGGGTGTTAATGGTGGCCCTAAATGTCCCATAGATGTGTGAATGGGTGAGTGCAGTGGACACAGTCTCTCTCCTGAGCCACCGACCCCCTCAGGAGAAGCAGAATAGAAGATGGCTGACGGACTTTCTGCAGGGGTAAAGTCTTCCTCCAGCAGGGGGCGACGACACGACTTCCTGTGTCATCTGGACTGTGGGACATTACAGGGTGCAAACAGCAGATTGACCTCTGACCGGTTACTTACTCTTCAGCTCCTTGCTTCGGTTGAGACCTTCTGAAAACAAAATAAACTCTTTAGACATTCAGCTAACATGTATCATTCCATGACCACTGGTTTTACTGATGATTGAATCCATCGACATTCATTCATAAATAATTCATCAAAACATCTCGTCTCTTACGCGTGTGTTCATTCAACCAGTCAGGTTATGTAAACCCCGCCTTCTTCCCGTGACGTCACAGTGACATCACGCCTTAGACACAATCAGGTGGTGGCGAGTGGACTCACTGGATTTGACCGGGGGTTTGAGCTCCTCACTGTCCAGCCGGCTGGTGTCCACGTGGACCAGCAGGTGTGTGAGGCGTCTCACTCTGGAGTTAAAGATGGCCGCGCGGCTTTTACAGCGGCGGGTCGACTCGGCGTTTCTCAGGTACTCGCTTAGCAGCCAGGACAGAGGGCTAGGCGCAGAGGATTCTGGGTAAACACAGAAAGCAGAAAGAGCATGAGAGCTGGTGTGTGTACCTGACAGTGTGATGCTGTGTGTGTGTGTACCTGACAGTGTGATGCTGTGTGTGTGTGTACCTGACAGTGTTATGCTGTGTGTGTGTGTACCTGACAGTGTGATGCTGTGTGTGTGTGTGTACCTGACAGTGTGATGCTGTGTGTGTGTGTGTGTGTGTGTGTGTACCTGACAGTGTGATGCTATGTGTGTGTGTGTACCTGACAGTGTGATGCTGTGTGTGTGTGTACCTGACAGTGTGATGCTGTGTGTGTGTGTGTACCTGACAGTGTGATGCTGTGTGTGTGTGTGTACCTGACAGTGTGATGCTGTGTGTGTGTGTGTGTGTGTGTACCTGACAGTGTGATGCTGTGTGTGTGTGTGTGTGTGTACCTGACAGTGTGATGCTGTGGACGATGGGGGTGATCAGAGCCTCCCAGCAGGTTCGCCCCAGAGCTTCAGCTGCCTCGGGATCCGGAAGGAAACGATCTGCAAACATCTGCTCGTGTCTCAGAGCGCTGTTCAGTCTGAAGACACACAACTAGTAGTTAACAGACACAAATAACAGAGCTATCAGCAGCGGCACCATTACAGTGCTATTGAGGCACTTACTTGTTGAAGAGCTGCAACAGCTGCATCTTGTCCTCCATCACCTCCTGACACCAGGTGTGGGCCTTGGTGCTGTAGAACAGGTAAGTCCGACAGCACAGCTGCTCCTTGAATACCGGCCAGAAGGTCGGCTTTGGACCAAGAACCTCGAAGCCGTGGACCCGAGTGTCAATTCCTCCCTGTCAGAGGGGGAGGTAAGGGAGATTCAATAGGTGGCCAATGCACAGGGGTGGAGTCAATAGGTAGGAAGAGGGTTGGGGGGAGGGTACGAACCTGCTGACATCTTTTGACCCTGATCTGGATAATTGACCAGAATCTGGTCATGTTCTCCAGGAGAACCACCCGACTGGCCGACGGAGTCACATTCACCTGCACACACACACACACACACACACACACAGTTGTTTTGGGGGGGAAGGTACCACAGACTGAGCCTCCATCAGAGAGCAGGAGGAAGCTCACCGTGTTGAGTTCGGTGCTGATGTTGGTCGGATCGTCCCCCCCCAGGACCAGGACTCGGGCCGGCATGTAGCTCGAGTCCTCGCTGGCCACCTGCACGGCCAGTTGTCTAAACAACAAACAACGGTCAGCTTCCTGCTGTAGCGTCGTCCCATCTTCACATTCATTTAAACAGCATTCATGTTTAGTCTTAATAGAAATATTCTTCATATTCAGATGAATTTAAATGAAGTTAGATATTTTGAATAATTTAAATATATGATTCAAATAATGTAAATTAGTTTACATTATTTTCAATTCAGAATGATTTAAATATTTGAAGTGTTTAATCTTCCAATTGATTGTTACTAATCGTACTATTAAATAGACTAATATCGTAATGGTGCTGTGTAGTTTTGTTGGCCCCTCCCACCTGATGACGACTCCTTTGTGCATGTATATGGTGATGAAGTGCGAGCCGGTGCAGCCGTTGGACTCCCAGTAGGATTTGGGGTTCTTGTCAGTCAGCTTGTTTGCTCGATGGTGATTGGACGAAACCTCCACCTTCTCCCAGCACTTGTCCTCCTTGAGCTCCACGCTGGAGCCTGAACACAGCACATTGTCTTCATATTAAATTACAGCATTTGTAACTTGATCAAGTGTTAAGTGAGAAACCAATGGATGGTTGAATGTGAACTGACCTTGGCAGAGGTTCCTGAGGAACACGTCGAAGAAGGGGATGTTGATTGGCTGATGACTGCGGCGATGCTCCTCGATCTGACCCAAGACCAGCTGACAGGAAGCAGAAAGTATTGTTCACTGCGAGTCCGACTGGCTTCACTCACCAGGTAATATCAGATACACTCGCCTTCAGTGAGGGTGTGATACCACATTTGATCAGCTAAATAATGAAAAGAGGCGTTATGGAGTATCGATAAGCGATCGATAGTATCCATAGAACCCTACTGACCTCTTAGAACCTGAAGGGCTCACCGTGGCTGATGGGTTTTGGCTTCTGCCTACCTGAATGCATCCTGCCAGGACGCTGGTGGTCATCTTCTTGTAGAGGCTGGCGTACTTCTCACAGTCAGTGATGAGGTCTCTCAGCTCGGTGACCAGCAGCAGGTTGGTGCTGTGTTTGTCCAGAGCTTTCCCAAGAGCCTCTTTGGTCCCCAGGCGGCACATCACCACCGTGTAGTCCTTGTTCAGGGACGCCAGCCGGTACAGGAAGCGGATGAACTGCTGGACCACCTAAGCAACCCATGACAGGAGGTCAACAATCCCCAGGAGGCGGTCCTAGTGCCCCCCCCCCAGTCCGAACCCACCTCTCTGTCGCCGATGAAGGCCGTCATGGAGGACAAGCAGGGCTCGATGCTCTCGTGCCACGGCAGCATGTCCTCCTGGTAGCTGTCCAGGAACTTGTTCAGGATCCTGCAGGAGTCAAACAGCCAATGAGACGAGCTCCACCTCACTGTCACACAGCTGCAAACTCATGACGGGTAAACAAAGTGCCCCGATATGCCACCCAAGATCTTTTTCCCAAAAGTAGAATAATATGCAGTTGTGGTCAAACGTTTACGTACACTTGCAAAGAACATAATGTCGTGGCTCTGCTGAGCTTCCAGTTCTGACCCCCCATCCCCGTACCTGAGGATGGACAGCTGGACGGCCCGGTCGGCTCGGTGCTGCTCCATCAGACGAACCAGATCCTGGTAAGTGTCCCGACTGCGAGTCACCTGAGACGACATGTAATGATGAATCAACGGGTCAACACGCAACGAGCTGATTGGACGTGTCTGCTGGTGTGAATTAGGGTCCGATCAGATCAATAACCCCAACGTAGGCCTGTACCTGGCTGCGTTCGCCCTCCAGCTGAGAGGCGTCGTCACACAGCAGCTGCTCCAGAGTCTGGATCACCTCTTTAGTGGCCGTCAGCTCCTTCAGACTCACAACCAACATCTGCAGCTCCGTGTCCTTGAAGTCCAGCTGCTCACGGCCCTCTGAGCACCACAGAAGAAGAAGAAGAAGAGTGGCAAATTAGGTCAAATATTCGGGAACAAAAGTCGGTCTGGCGAGAGATATTTGCTGGAGAAGACGAGAGGACGGACTCAGTCAGCACGGTACGATAAATTAGGGGTTTGAGATAAGACGTGCACAGGCTCCTTCGCCGTTAAAGCTGGCAAGATACTCACTTCCTGATTGGCCTTCATAGAGGTAGGTGCTAGCTAGCTACTGTAGCTACACAGAGAGTAGGCTGCTGTTAGCTGCTGTGTGTCAGTCATCAGGGTCTCACAGAGTGACCCTCTCAGTTTGTGTCCCTTCCCTCCAGAGAGGAGGAGCTCCGACTGCAGCTCCAAGGCTCCGATCCGGTCTGTCCACGGTGGACTGGTCTCTGCTGGAGGATCCGGTCTGTCCACGGTGGACTGGTCTCTGCTGGAGGATCCGGTCTGTCCACGGTGGACTGGTCTCTGCTGGAGGATCCGGTCTGTCCACGGTGGACTGGTCTCTGCTGGAGGATCCGGTCTGTCCACGGTGGACTGGTCTCTGTCCACGGTGGACTGTTATCATGTTTCACCACAGGCCGACCAGGTGGCACCGATGACGTCATTAAGAAGGAGCCCATAGAAACAGACATGTTCCCTCCGATGGTCTCATTTACTGACTTAAAGTCCGTCACTGGGACAAAGGGAATGAGTGGACTGTGGTCATGTGACCCACCTTTGCTCTCCAGTTTGTGCACCATGGAGATGTGGTTGAGGGCGATGATGGCCAGGGTGGTCTCTGCACTGGACAGAGTCAGACACTTCTTGAGGACAGCGGTGACGCCGGCGGCCACCAGCTGCTCGGCCAGGCTCTTGTGGTTGGAGATGAGCACGATGAGGACCAGCAGGCCGTTACGCACCGACGGCATGCAGCTGCACAGAAGGCCTGGAATCAGTACAGGGGATCCACAGCAGGGGGCCGCGGCCGAACCGCAGGGCGGAGACTCACCCGTCTGTCTGCAGCATGAGGTCAATGGCGGCGGGGACGGCTCCCAGGAGGCCTCTGGAGCCTTCGGGCGTGGCCGACCCAATGCTGGCGAAGATCTCCAACATCATCTGAGTGCCGGACTCGGAGAGCAGGAGGCTGCTGCCTGCGCCGTGCAGGTCGTGTTTACTGGCTCCAGAGATGACCTTCAGAATCTGACAACAGGAAACATCACCATCATCATCCGCATCAACAACATGTCACCGATGGCAACGGGGGAAACCGTTCGTCTGCCTTTGTCTGTTCCTTCAACATCAAGACAGGAGGTCACAGGTCTAGGAGTAAAGACCGCCTCCTGCTGCATTTGATTGGCTGCGACTCAAGAACAAAAGGTTGCTTTTAAAACTTAAAAAAAAACTTGGTCAAGAGAGCGAACGAGTTAAAGCCGAGGACGACCACGGGACATCCTCCGAGATCAAAGCAACAGACGGGCGTCTCCCTCACAGACAAACCAAGCTCGGGGACTCTGAAGATTCTTCTTCTGACCTCCAGTTTGCAGCAGACCAACACAGACCTTTATCACGCGCTCTGCCTACAGACTTCACAAGGTACAAAGGCGGAGTCTCACTGCAAGTGCCAGCTGCTGCACGTGGATGGAGGTGGAGAACTCCTGCATGCAGGATAAGACTGCTTTGACTCCGCCCTCGGTGGCGAAGGAAACCCTCCACTCGTACTTCAGCATGAGGAGGTGGGTGAGTCTCAACGCGCCCGTCAGCAGGTCTTTGGAGGAGGAGCCCAGCAGCTCCACCAGCAGCTTCAGCACCTTGTCCCTGGCGGAGGACGGAGACACAGAAACACTAATTAGTCATTGATGGTCATTAGCAGATTCGGGTGGTTGTTCTTATAGCAGCTGGTCAGGATCCAGCCTGCGGCTCGCCAGTGGACGCTCACCGGATGCTCTGGGCCGAGTCGCTCCTCATGGGGTTCTTTTCCTGGACTCCCTTCTCCTCCAGCAGCCTGGTGACGAAGAGGACGGCGGCCAGCTGGTCTGAGCCCGACCCCCCCTTCCTCAGGATGTCCACCACCTCCCCCAGTTTCTCCAACACAGTCTTCTTCCCCTGGACCCGCGGGTTGTTGAACACTGCGGGGAGGAGGACTCATTCAGCACCAGATGTGCTTCACTACACCCCGGATGTTCTTCTCGCCCCCTACCTTTCATCTTGTCCTCCAGGTCCTCAGAGTACATGCTGTCGTCCTCTGAGGGCAGCTGCTCCGTCTCGGAGCAGCTGCAGCCGGAGTCGACAGGGACGTCCTTCTTTGCCTTCTTGGAGACTGAGCGCGTCGCTGAGGAAGAGGAGGTTGAGACTGGTGAAGAAGACATCAGTCCTCCTCCACCACCAAGGCCGGAAGAACCCAGAGAGGTTTCAGCTGGAGACAGAGCACAGTCAGACTGATGGACTTTTTCTAACAGAGCTGTCTCTTTATGTCCTCACCCAGCAGCTCGTCCTCCTCCTCCTGACTCCCTCCTCCTCCTCTCCTCAGGTAGTGTTTGGAGAAGGTGTGGGAACACAGCAGGTCGCTCTGACAAGCCGACGGCAGCTTCTGTGTCAGGTAGTGAAGCAGCTTCTTAGCCACGTCTCCATGGACAGACAAACCAATCAGAGACGAGTCGTCTAGCTCCGCCTCCTTCAGGACAGAGACAAGCAACCTTTATTAAAGCAGGGAATCTCTTTGACGGGCCGAGACAGAAAGAATAAGACACGAGTACATTTCCCTTCTGGGACAAGCAGCATGAAGACGTCCTGAGGACGCTATGGAGACTGTCCGGCACTAAAAAAAACAAAGACGAGCCTCAGTTTCCCAGCATGCCCCTTGGGTGCTCCTCACCTGGTCCTCCAGACTCTGCAGCAGGATGCTGCAGACCTCCTGCTGCTGTTTGAGCTCCAGCTTCTTGATGAAGAAGAGGATCTCCCACCACTCGGCCCGACTCAGAGCCCGCCTCTCCGGGTGCAGACCCTCGGACAGGTAAGGCAGAGAGTAGAGACCACCGGGGGGCTTGGAAAAGAACGTCTGGCTCACTGAGGGAGCACAAGAAGAACCACGCCTCCTGAGGTCCGGTACAGACAGGTGGACACTTCAGGTGGGATCGGATCTTACCAGCCGTGAGCCTGAGCGCCTCCGTCAGGGTGGACGCCTTCTCCTGCGTCTCCTTCTCAGCCTGACTGCTGCTGCCCCCGCCCTGCACCTCCACCATGTGCCAGTGGACCCAGTAGGTCCTGGACAGCGCGTTCCAGTACACCTGAACAGAGACACGGGTCAGGAGTCCCCCAGGGGGACCGATCATGGTCTGTATAATGTTAAAAACATTACATTAAGTACATCAACAGCGTAACCGGCGCCTCACCTGGACAGGTGGCGAGCCGTCGTTGCTGTAGCGGAACTCTCCCTCGTCACCGGCGCTGACCTCCTCGTAGTCCTCCAGCATGCGGACCTGCATGCCGCTCTTCAGGTTGTCCTGGACGTACTCCACGTAGGCGGAGCGGCTGGTGAAGTCGGAGCGGGTTTTGTACCCGTTTGCCGTCTGCTTCTTCGGCGGCGAGGAGGCGGTGACTGCAGGAGCGGCGACATTGCTGAGAGCAACAGGGGAGGCGCAGGAGCGAGGCTGGAAGATGGACCTCAGGACGGGGCGGGATGCCTCCTCCCCGGGGTCCTCCCCGCAGGCCCCGCCTCCTCCCGGGCTGTGGGCAGCGCCATCGGGGGGCTGGCGGTTCCGGTCCCAGCCCATCACGCGGACCAGCTCCGAGATGAGGTTGGCCATGGCCACGGTGAAGTCGAACTCCCGCTGCACGCGGACGCGATCCGTCTGGTGGGCGGCGCAGGAGGACGAAGAGGCGGGGGAGGGGCTGGCCTCCTGTCTGTCAGGGTTGGACTCCGCCCCCGCCGTGTTGAGTTTGTCCATCAGTGACGTCACGCACAGGTAACGCTTCACCAGAGAGAACAGCAGCTTCCCAGGAATCTGAGACGGGACCAATTAATTCATTAATGACAGTGTATTAATAATACACAGAGGATTATTAATAAGTAATATCTAATAAAAACACTAAAATGTGAGAACAATGAAAGGAATACTATGATGCATTTGAATAACACTTATAATAATACCCGTGTTAATAACTTCTCACCTGAGGCAGGTGGATCCCCTCAAAGGAGATGCCGTGCTCCTCTGAGGACGTGGTCTCTGCAAACAGCTCCAGCAGCGTGTAGCGGTTATCAAAGTCCATGTGCTGCTCGATGCCGTCCTGCTGACTGAGGGACAGCAGGACATATGCACGACTTCCTGTTGGGGGGACAGGCGGACAGTGTCAGGGAGGCGGGAGAAGACAAACAGCGATGGATCGCTGACTTGTTGACAGAACCCCCCCCCCCCCCCCCATGTAACAGGTCTAGGACGAGAGCAGATCAGACCAGGACTACACTGGAAAGCAGATTAGACGAGACCAGACTGTTAATTCTGTGACCTCATGGGACACCTGTAGCCAATCAGAGAGCAGCGTGCTCCAGTGAACACAGCTGGTGGGTACCTGCGTCGTGGGAGGCGAGCGCCCGCAGCATCTTGCCGGCGCTGCGTCGGGTCTGCGTCTCCTTGTTGCACAGCAGCTCCATCAGCAGGTTGAGGGCGCCGGTCTCCTTGAAGACGCCGACCAGCGAGCCGATGCCGGCGTAGGCGCTCAGCACGTGGATGGTGTGCGTGATGCTGATGGAGAAGTCCCTCTTCTTGGCCATCTGCTTCCTGGCCCGACACACCAAGTTCTTCACGTCGTCCTTCATGTCCGACAGCTCCACCTCGTCGAAGGTCACGTCGGCGGGGAAATCGGCGGTAGTACCCGGGCATCCGTGGTAGGCCTTGCCATGCCCCGCCTCCAGCTGCAGCGGGCGCTGCACGTCCGTCTTCCTCTTGCCGAGCAGGCCGGGGCAGTTGGCGTACACGTCCTCCGTGGACATCCACATCAGGATGTTCTCCGGCTTGCTCTCTCCTGATGCGGGGCCGGCTGCCCCGTCCGACCCCGAGCTGCCCGCTTCGCTGGCTCCGCCCCGCGAGCCGGAGCCGTCGTCGATGGTGACCAGGCACCAGCGAATCAGGTACTCCGTCTGGCCGTCGTGGTTGCGGCGCTGGCGGATCAGCTCCTCCGGATAGGCCTGCAGCCTCGGGCCCAGCTGGACCAGCAGGTTCCCATTGCGCCGCTCGCCCACCATCGTCGCTGAGGAGATGTTATTGATCATTAGATCAACAACAACAACAACAACGGCTTAACGAAGGGAAACACATCTACAGCAGCAGACAGCGAGGACAGGCAGAACGGGTCCTATGGACTCCAGCTGTGTCCGTCCTGTTCACATGTTTGTGTTCCGTCTATCAGGACTCATCTACTCCCTGAGGGGGTCCGGGCACCCAGCGCGCGAACACGTAGCTATTATCGCTAACGCCGGCTTCCTATTGGCTGGGAAGTTATCTAGTGTCAGTAAATAGCCAGGCCCGCGCTAGCATAATGCTAACCTTAGCACTGGATTGAAGGAATCAGACAAATTAAAGTTTGGACACAATCAAAGGACATTCCCTAGATTCCTCTAGCGCGCACCCACCGATCAACGGGTTCATTAGGCAACGTGTACAGCTGTGGTTTCCCCTGACGTCACACTGAGGCGTTTTTAAAAGTGGATAAAGCGCTGGTTCGTGTGCTGTACGTAGACCGGATGGAGGAGTGTGCTCAGTGCGGCTCCTGTCGGTGTACGGGCCTGATCTCAGATCCGCCTGCTCAGCCCGGAAGGCGGCTACGCGCCGCCAGGTGAGTCGGGCTTACCTGCCGTGTCGCAGACGTCACCCCTCGTCGCTGTCTTCTCCCCCGCGCGCTGTTTTGTCTCCCGCCTGCTGGCTTCCGTCGTGTCGTTGTCCACCGGAGCCCCGTGCCGCTGCTGGTTGCGCATTAGCGACCGGGACCGGGAAATTCTTCTTCTACGTCCTCTTCCTCTGCGCTCTGCTGTTTCTTCTTCTCCGGCTTAATTGGCGGATGGCAGACCGCATTGAAAAGAGCCGCGCGCCCCCTGTCGCGTGTCCCGATGGACGGGTTTGTCGACCGCATACGTCACTTCCGCTGAGAGTCGCCTGTCCCAAAGGGGTCGAGGGACGCGGTCCTCCAGGAGGTTTGGAGGACGCATCTGATCTGTCCTTTGCGGCCCAGCATATCCCAGCATGCAGTGCGGGCCGACGAGGATTTCATTTCTTCAGGACGGAGGCGGGTGATGCGACCAAATGTAACGTTAATAGAATTCACTCCATTATCTACCGATAGAAATGTATATAACATCACATCTTAGTTAATGAAATCACTTAAGTTACGTGACGTTGGTGACCGATGTCGTGTTTTTATATTCACATAAGACTTTAGAACAAACTGCACTTAGTAATAACTTAACTCCGTCCTGCTGCCCCCCATACAGCCCCTGAGCCAGACCCTCACCTGAACCCCCCCGGGTCCGTGTTACTGTTAGTTATGAGTTACTTATGAGCATCAATGTACTACACACATTTATAACAAACACACATTTACAACAAACACACATTTATAACAAACACACATTTACAACAAACACACATTTACAACAAACACACATTTATAACAAACACACATTTACAACAAACACACATTTACAACAAACACACATGTATAACAAACACGCATTTACAACAAACACACATTTACAACAAACACGCATTTACAACAAACACACATTTACAACAAACACACATTTACAACAAACACACATTTATAACAAACACACAACAAGCAGCTCACGTTACCGGCAGCTCGTCTGTAGTTAATAATGAAGTTATGAACCTGAAATATCACTTTCTAAGTCCGTAACGTTACAGAATAAATGCACAAAGAAACTGACCTGGCTTTGCTCCTTTAGTTTCGTCGTGTTCACTGCTGTTTCTTTTCTTCAGGAGAAACAGTCACTGATTCTGTTTTCATGTAACAAATGTCGATATATTGTTTTTGTCCTCTGTGGTTCTGACAGCGTCACTAACTAATTATTAAAAGTGTGTGTGTGTGTAAAAACTGCAACTTGAAAATTTTAAGGATTAAATTGCAAGTGCACTGAACGTGTAGCGCTTTTCTAGCCTCCTGACTTCATGTCATCATTCACCCATTGATGACAGCAGCTACGGGTTAAGTGTCCTGCCCAAGGACACGTGGACATGCGGGTTAGCAGGACCTGGGATTGAACCAGCGATCCTCTGACAGTCGCTGTGTATTTCAATGCTGTCCAGATTAAACCCTTAAACATGTGCACCCCAAAGGATTGTGTTCTAGGTGGAAAGCTCTCCGTTAGGAATGAACCCCCAATTCATGTAGTTCACTGGCCCACAAAGTGTCTCGATCATTCACAAAACCTATTCATTAGATTCCATCTAAAAATGAGAAACCGGGTAAAAGGAGAACATGAACACGATCATCAACTACAGTCATGTGGCCGTGACCCGGGATGGGGACCAAATTAAATGGATCTTGAGCCTTGGATCTCAAAAGTTTCAACATTTTATTCCTTGGCAGAAAAGGGACAACTAAAGGACTCAACACCCGAATAAAGAACATACTAGATCCTACAAAGGCCTTATGACACAAAAACACTGCATTAAAGGACGAAGGCAACCTCTCGATATCAAATGAGGTCTGGTTTGATGTCTGTACATGTCAGTGGAAATGCACCAGTTATGTTCTCACGTGTCTGATCGGTTCCTTTATGACGCCAGAAGACACTTTGCAGGATGCATGTTGGAGAAGATGGAAACCAATCACTGGCATGTATTTAAAGAGCGTCCAGCAATGAAACCTCTCTTGGCAGCGTCCAACCTTACAAAGCAGAACTATTACACCGGCCTCAGGACCACCGGGCGTCCCAGCAGGGCGTCCCAGCAGGCCGTCCCAGCAGGGCGTCCCATCAGGCCGTCCCCGCAGGGCGTCCCAGCAGGGCGTCCCAGCAGGGCGTCCCCGCAGGGCGTCCCAGCAGGGCGTCCCAGCAGGGCGTCCCCGCAGGGCGTCCCAGCAGGGCGTCCCAGCAGGCCGTCCCAGCATTGCGTCCCCGCAGGGCGTCCCAGCAGGGCGTCCCAGCAGGGCGTCCCCGCAGGGCGTCCCAGCAGGGCGTCCCAGCAGGGCGTCCCCGCAGGGCGTCCCAGCATTGCGTCCCAGCATTGCGTCCCAGCAGGGCGTAACATGAGGTCAGTGGCTTCTTACTAACAGCCCGCTGAAAGCACTCATGATACGTGGATGAACAGCAGCAGCACCCCCAGTGGCTGAAGATTAGACTGCCGCATCAAGTCGCCATGGTTACACAGTAGAGACCGGAAATACGTTATTTGTCATTCCAAAATAAATGTGAACTTAAACACGTTTGATATCTATTTTCCTTTTGAATTAACAAATAAATAAAATAAATTAACTGAAAATTGCAACCCATTCATTCTTTTGGCTGTATTAATAGTTTGATCATTGTTTATTTAACATTGTACGGTTTATTTCTCCTGTATAATGTCATTCATGATGGTTTAATAATTCATTTGATTTTTGGTTGGATACTATTTTATTTACTATAGTTATTTATCTATTTAACTGAACTTTAGATGATCTCTAAAGACACACACGAGTTATGGACCACAATGATGACGTCAGCATCTCACGAACCAAAGCAGTGCGGTCATTTTGCATTAATTCATATGAATAGTTTCAGGGGCAGTGAACGTCTTATTTTGAAACTGTAGATCGGAAGTGACATTCGTCGGTTACCGGTACTTTCAGCTGGCGGTCGGTCGGTATCGCCCTGTCCCGTTACGCTCGGTTCAGACTGGAACTCACTCATGGACGACACGAGAAGCGGAACCGGAGAGGAACCGTAAAGGAACCGGAGAGGAACCAAAGAGGAACCGTAAAGGAACCGGAGAGGAACCGGAGAGGAACCAAAGAGGAACCGGAGAGGAACGGGGAGTCGGAGGGGGGATTTTTCCCGCCGTAAGAAAACAAGTTACCAGCAGTCAGTTACAGGAGAGACGAAACTTCTTGTGTGTCTGTGTGCATGTGTTGTCTGTCTGTGTTGTGCGTGTGTGTCTGTGTGCACGTGTTGTGTGTGTGTGTTTGTGTGCATGTGTTGTGTGTGTGTGCATGTGTTGTCTGTCTGTGTTGTGTGTGTGTCTGTGTGGACGTGTTGTGTGTGTGTGTGTGTTTGTGTGCATGTGTTGTGTGTCTGTGTTTGTGTGCATGTGTTGTGTGCATGTGTGCATGTGTTGTCTGACTATGCGTTGTGTGTCTGTGTGAAACGAGATATGGAGAAAAGTTGAGGCCTAAAAGTGTTATTTGTCTAATAACGAGAGACGAGTTGCTCGTTGTGTGTTGGTTTTAAGTTGTGTGTTTGTTTTAAGTGTGTGTTGGCACATCAATGTTTTTAAGGTAGAGACTTTTAATTTGAAATCTCTTCCAGACGGAGTTGATAGAAGTCATTTTTTAACTAAAGTTATTAGTTATGACCAAAGTTTTTAATAACCACCACTGTTGTGTTTTAAATACACGCAAGATGTGAGAACAAACTGCTGTTAATTGTAACTTTTCTCAGGTAACACAGCCATGCTGTCCGCCAGGTGGTTCCCCTCACTTGAACCCCCCCCTGGGTCCTAAAGCCTTCCAAGTACTGCTTCTTTTAAACATCAATACGCATTATGATCATCAATGTACTGACATACATTTAGAACAAAATACCACAACTACGCAGCACAGTTTATGCTGCTCCCTGATAAAAACATGTATAAATGTTAAGTGTGACTTTTGAGATAAACGCTTCTTAATGCCGTGTCAGTGGGCAGTAGCTTTATGATTTAACTGCTACTTTGTGATGGAATACTGCTGTTACAAAGCACCACATAGAATGCGTACCCATAAACCAAAGTGCAATGCAGTACATTTACATTATTAAACATTTACATATATATAAATATACACACACATATATATATACGTGGTATTTCCTCTGTGTACTGGTGCAGCGGAGGGATGCAGGAGGCGGAGCTTAGCCACTACGTCACCCAGCTGAAGGTGGAGTTCGACGGCTGTGATTCGACGGCCACCGGCTTCCTGGACCGAGAGCAGCTGACGGAGCTCTGCAGGAAGCTGCAGCTGGAGGCTCAGAGACCAGTGCTGCTGGACACGCTACTGGGAGGACGCCACTACGCCCAGGTAACTGCTGCTGGTTACTGCTGACTGACTACTAATGGCTACTGGTTACCGGTCAACTGGTCCCTGTGTCCTCACCAAATCTCTTAGTTTATTTACGCGACTGGTTCTTCGGCCTCCGTGCGACTAAACAACAAATGTGCTCGTCTTTGGCGTCCAGGTGAACTTTGAGGAGTTTAAAACCGGCTTGGTAGCCGTTCTGTCTCGCTCTCTGGACTCCAGCACATCAGAGGACGACAGCAGCTACCTGGAGCCAGGTAAGAGCCAGGAGCTGCAGCCCCTCCTCCAAGCTGGTAAGACCCCAACCATCTGTGAAGGGGTGTGTGCTCGTTCAATAGGCAACCACACGTACTGTGGCAATGACCAGTTCAGGAGCCACTCGACTTGTCTTTTTGACACATTTACCTTCTTTCACATTATTAGTTTATTTTTATTTTACCGCTATCAACATGTGAATAAAGTATTTAAAAGAAGTTTGAAAACATGTATGAGATGGCGGCAAATCACTGTCAAAATTTGAGAGCGCAAATCAGGTTGATGCGCACGTGTCAATCAAACATCCGCGAGCAAAAGTCTCCGTCATATTTGCTCACGAGGTGAATCTCTGCTCGCGCTCGCTGTTGTTCTTTTTGACAGTAAGGGGGTGGAGCCAGTCACCAGGGGGCGGAGCCAGTCACCATGGTATCCACATCTAATTGGTTACAAACCCCGTCTTTGGATTGGCTGGAGTGATGCATTCACACACCTATAGACTCGTTGTGATACTAGTTGTGAAAATAGTTGTGAGAATAGTTGTGAAAATAGTTGTGACTCTAGTTGTAAAAATAGTTGTGACAATAGTTGTGACAATAGTTGTGACTAGTTGTGAAATCAGTTGTGACTCTAGTTGTTAAAATA